AAACTGATCCCACACCTCCAACTAGTGCCGAGGTCAAGAATACGTTGATCTATACATCCACTCCCAAATACATGTTCTTGGCATAATGCATAATTAGTTCAGCTCAGGGACACCTTTACCTTCGCATCTTTATCGTGACAGCGCCGGGACTACCCAGTCAGTATAAGCATGTGGCCGAGGGTTGAGGCGATTACTATCTGATGTACAGAGCTGGTGTAACACTAGCGGCTTATCGCCAGCATAACCAGGTTAGGGTTTGACGACCTCGCGAGTTTGTGGACCAACCACAGTAACATTTACAGTTACAGAATTTAGGCCCAGATTATTTTACTAGAATAATTTGAGAGCTGTAATATACGTAGCTGAAGTAACATCACATACATTGGCAGTTTGGACGTGCTGATGCGACTCACATGGCTTTCTTTGGCCTTGGCATCCCTACATCCGCCCCAATTGCTATTTAAAATGATCCTTAAGTTATGCCCCTCTGAAACTTTACCTCTAGGCAAAAATCGATATATATGCCCATTTACTTCTGTATTTAGAATTGAGTTTCGTGACCTCAAACTAAATCGTTTTCCCATGGGCAATTGTACGTCGCTCTGTTGAGATGGCTTACATAGGGTTGGAACACACACGGAGACATCGGTCGTACGTCGTCCGTACGGTTCATGTCGCATCAAGTAGTAGAATATAAAGTGTAATCATAGCTTTCATACGTGACGACATGCGACATCTACCGTACGGCAGTCGGAGAGCATAGAAATGTATATGGTCGCTCTAGTGTGGAAAGGAGGTCGTTCGGCAAAAAAATCGTACGACATTTTCCGTGCGGCCGATGTCGCTGTGAGTGTTCCTAGCCTATAGGCTGGAATATGCGTTTCGGTAGATAACGGCTTGACGAAGAATTCTGTGTCATGATTTTTTTTTTCCGAATAAAGCATTTCTGATTTGCCGCGTTTCATTGAACGTCCTCAAGTTCTGATGTGAAGCACGAATAAAACACGTTCTATTTTGAACTTCTCTGCAAGTTGAGAAATACCCACCTTATGAATGGTCATAATAGGCATACGCATTTCCAGTTAGTCATTTATAATCATGTTTAATTGAGCTTGAAGAAAGCAGTCTTCTGGGATTTGGCACCGTGTATATGTGGTGTTAACCGACGTTTCGNAGATGAGTCAAAATTGGCAATTCTGTAGGAACATCGGTTTCATAATGGGTATTTTAAGAGGTCATTATGAAATGTTAGTTTCTATTTCAGTCACACAGTATTGTCTGTAGGCTGTTTAGTTGTCTAGACAAGTTTGTAATTCTTCTAGCCCAGTGTTTGCAGCTGACTGAATTTTTAAACGTCACTCCGAAGTAAATACTTGAAGTTCTAGTTTCCTTGAATTTGTAATGCAGCGCAGCAGTTCTCAAGCTTCCAGTTTCACAGACCGGTAGAACAGCTTTGACTTTCCCGAACATCGGTGTTCTATGCGTCTCACAGTTTACAATACAATGCGGTCGCGTTTTATACGAATTTGTAATAGTTGCGATCTAGAAGAACTATTATTGAAGTCTCACTGTATGCGCATAGTTTGAAATAATGCGAATCCCAAATAGCCAACATCTGCCTTACTTTACATTTATTCGTTTGAGATAACGTGTTTTCAGTTATGCGAGATCTTAATGAACGCACCCTCGCATAAAATGCGACCCCACTACACTAGTTTACAGCTTTAATTGTTACGTCGATATATGTCTGCTTATAACAAATTATGCAGGAGAGAAGATAATACATTTTATCGATATTAGGCTTTCACGGTGTTTAATTATTGGTGCTGATTCTGATCTTTGGTTGTTACACAATGTGGATGTGGGCGATGTTACCGACGTTTCGTAGGTACATGCTGCCTTCATCTTCAGGATTAACCCTGAACGTGAGCATCATCATCTACATTCACACGGTGGGACAGCCCAAGAACATAACATAAATTTGGGAGATCCTTTTATTATTGCCTTTGTCAGTTATTATTAATATATTCCGCACAGCCATTACTAGTTTGGTCATAATAGGTGGGCGCTAGAAAATAATGTTATGCCACTTAAAAAGCTAAAGTTGTCGCTGCGCTTAATTAAGCGCCATGCTATGAAGACATACGTGAGAGTGGAGGTATGGCTCCACCATTCTTGATCTCAGCACTATATGGAGGTGAGTGGTCAGCTTCACGCCCCTGCCGCCATACTCCCTGAAAGAGCCCCTGATACCCACTGAATAGGAGGCTGGGAGATCCCCGGAACCTGGACGACGTAGAGAAGAGAAAAATCTTACCCTTATAGGGACTCGAACTCCAACCCCTCATTCGTTCAGCCCGTGGCCAGTCGCTATACCGACTGCGTTGTCCTGCTGCTTGTTGGATAAAAACGACCCACAGATCGTGAAATGCAATTCGGATACGCTCTCGCGCCAGAGAGAGAGAGATGCAATTGTTTGTACACGCACACATTTCATATTCTGTGGAAGGAAGGTTATTCGCTTCACACGGTTGCGGAAGAGAGCAGCTTAAGCACAGTCTGAGCATTTATCTGTTGCAACGGTGTGACTCATTCTGAAACTAGTTTTTTCTAAAGCATGGACTTGACCTGGAGCAAAAGCAACAATACGCCGTCATGCTTAAACTGTTGTGCATTGTTCTTGATTTGAAGCTTTGGATGTGGTACCGTAACGGGCTGAACAGATTAAGTTACTAACATGGAAAACCTGGTGTTTAGAAACTGAAGGAGCAGGTGGGGTAGCGGGTAAGCTCTTGACTTGTATTCCAAAGGTGGTCACTTCGAAACTCGGCCGGGACACCAGATGGTTTGAGGTTTTATGTGGTTTTCCTCAGTCCCTCTAGGTAATTTCTGGGGTAGTAATTCGCCTATGCCACTACCGCATCTTGAAATTGTTTAATTCAACAGTGATATCTTTCGATGCTATATAGTGTAGACCCTGACGGCATTGTAAAATAAAAAAAATGAAATGCTCGTAAATTGAACTGATACCAGCTTTGTGTTAATAGTCACATGGATTGTCGGCTCTCTGGTTTCTATTTTTACCAGTTTATTGCATTAAATTACGTGCATGCAAATCATAGTTCACAATCAAGCATTAATTTAAATAATGTCAGTACTGCAAGTTAAGTTTTCATGTTATCAACATAATTCGTTCAGTTTCTTCCAGAATCACGTCTTCAGCCAAGTACATAAAAAATATGGGGTGGCCTGTCAGTTCGTTCAGATTTTATTGGCGTTCAGGAAGTTGCTAGACCAAAACTCACTAGATGGTGTTTCTAGATAAGTCGAGATATTAAGGGTCCTGAGACGTGTAGGAGAATGTTAAAGCATATGAGAATGTATTTTATGCAGACTTGCCACATAGCAAGGGGAGGGACAGTGGTAAGTTTTTCTTTTTGCCCATTATTCTGATCCCTTGATATGAGGTAGAGGTACATATAATTGAATGGGCGATTGAGAGCAGCATGGTGGTGATGGAGAAGTTGTATGAATGCCAGATTAAGTCCTGCTAGATTAAGTCCATCCACTCTACAAACCAGAGGACGTCATACTCTGTGTAGGCAACCTTACAGGAGATATGGCCAGTGTGTGTTTGAATTTCCCACCGATGTATGAACACCAGAAGTATGTTGACAGTAGAGTTTTGCAACCTTCTAATGATAACATAATGGTTCACGTCACTGACCGACGATGATACCCCCTTGTTACTTGAGTGGATGCAGTGTGTAGACTTGTCTTGTGTACTGAAGTAATCGTGCGTAAAATGTGAAGTGTGATGCATTATCCTGTGTTTCTATGGTGGATGTTAGAGGCCTACCATTATGTTGTGGACTGGGATAGTGTGTAAATTTCCAAGGTATGCGGCTAAACCCACCTCTGTAGAACGTCTGAGTTCATTAGATAGCACTCCTTTATTTTCAGGAGCTTTCATGTTCGAATCTCGGTCTGGAGGCAGGCCAATGTGACTGAGATCCCTCCAGGTAAATGCCGTGATAGTACCATAAGTCATGACTGCCTCCCTCTGCTTCCTTTTCAAGTATTTTCCACTGATAATCCTATAATTTGGTGCTATATAATACGACTGTCAAAAGCGTCTTTAAGTAAGCCATAAATGAATGACCCTCCCCTTTGTTAAAACAGAAGGTCCATTTCAGTTGATGATGTGCAATTCATCTGGATGATGAGTGGTTATAATTTTTAACAGAAGAATGACCCTTCTTTAAGAGTGTTAGGCAGGCATCTTAAACATAATTATGAGAGGTCTGTGTCTTTGTCAAACTATCCTAGAGAGTTTGGGAGAAGATTGGCAAGTGAAACAGTTGTAAGTTATTAATACAGTACAGGTTGGGAGGTTGTGCAGCAAACCACATAACGCTGAAGTTGATCTTTGATGATGTTCTAAGAAACAGCTCATCTTGCAAAATATTTGTGCATGTAAAATTTAGATCTTAGATTTGCAACTTGAAACATTTTTGATGTGAATATTTAATAAGATACAAGGTTAAAATACTTTGACTATTATCATTGTCATTAATGCTCCAATCACATAAATGTATTACATTATGAAAAATGAACACTTCTCATCCCTTTCATAAAGGAACACACATTATGAAAAATGAATGCAGAGCAGCAAATGTTAATGCTTGCTTAGAGAATAGGTGTGTTTCTAGAGGCAAATGGATTGTGTATGTAACTCTGTTATAAGCACTTTCTAAGTTTTGCCTACTATACCTATGTACACTCAAGGCTCCAGAAATCCTATTGTCCACTCACAGTGGAGCCAGCAACTATGACTGTTTCAATGAATCATACTGTGAGTAATTTTGTTAAGTGGCTAGAAGATGTGAATTTTGTTTTCCCATCTGGAGCTTTGTGTATGTCTAGTTTTTTGTGGCTATTTTATTAATGTGGGATAATTCTGTTATCTAAACTTCATGGTGGTGTTCTCTTGGTTGCAGTACCCAATGACAATCCTCTATGATCCTGCAAGGAAGAAAGAACCTTCATCGCAGTACGTAACAGAACGTGAAACATGCCTGAAATATTTTGAGAAATGGAGCGAACGGGATCAGGTGGAATTTGTAGAACATCTACTGTCACGCATGTGCCATTACCAGCATGGTCACATCAACTCCTACCTCAAACCTATGCTCCAGAGGGATTTTATTTCACTGTTACCAAGTAGGTGCTAATGATAGTTGTTATTGCCTTGTATCCAGGGAATCGTTATCATTTTACAGGTGTTATCACAGTTAGAAATTAGTATTATTCAGCCCTTTTCTCTTTCCATGTACAACTCAGTTTGTTTCTGCTACTGATTTTTTGTTATATTCTGATCTTGCATCTGCAGTTATTTTACCCGTTTCATGTATTTCTAATGGATTTGATATAGGTTCCAAAGATCTTCTCATACAGACTAACTGTATAACCGCTCAGTGAGACTTCTAGCCCCACAAGTTGGTTGGCACTTCTATCACCGCCGTCATGTTCGCCTACCCGTTTGGCGTCACTTTTTACTCTGTAGTTGGTTGGCACTTATGACCATCCTCTTAGTGCCCTTACATTGGTCTCCACTTTCATCCGCCGCTTCCTTGTTGCTGTCTGGTTCAGGGTAGGGTGTGGGATTACTCTGAATTTGAATTTGTATGGGCACCAGTGGACTTGGGCGAAATCCACGAATTTGGAACGGGGAAAACAAAGGAGGGGGGATAAGGATAGGCGGGCGTTTGGGGTTCCAGCTGCTCAGACGGTAGGACGAGATTCTCTCTCAGGGCGACTTCTGGGCCTTGCTCACACAAGGAGAGAGAAAACACTTAAAACTCACACTTCACCAACACTGTTGCTCTTTATTGTGAACTAGAATTACACATTACAAGGCTGTAGCACTTTTGAATTTGTGTACCGGACTCGGCCAACACCGATTTAATGTCCGGGAGGTTACTCCTATCACTCCCTTTAAATGACTGACTCCAGTTACTCCCTTTTTGCTACTCACTCCTGTTATTCCCTTTTTGTGACTGACTCCTGTTATTCCCTTTTGATGACTGACTGCTCTGGAGAGGCAGAAGTCCTGACAGTTCCAGGAACGCCTGGTTTCCTCTCCTCTGAAATTTTGCTGATTGGCTGAACCTAAAATTTGGGTGTTTCTCTCATTTACATTCCGCCAATCCCTAACAAGATCCATGTTAATTTAGGCCTAAGTACAACAGGGTCCTTCTGACAGCTCTCAAATAAATGAAGGTACACTAACGATCGCTCGGTACGCCTCTCTGAAAATTAGTGCGACTCGTATCTGTCAAGTCTCAAATTTTCAAAGACTCGCACCATCGAAGTTAAGCATTGAAATTCCCAGAAAAGACAGCGGGATACTTCCTGCTCTGTTCTGGGGATTTCAAGTGACCTGCAGCTTGCTTGTCCCTCAGAAAGACCAGATGGCATCCTTGGCGTCTGCTGGTGCTGGGGTCTATTCTGTATCATCTTGTGTTAACAGTAATACAGTTCATTTACTTGTAGTACATTGTAATTAAGAATGTACATGAAAAACATTGCTGAGGTACCTGCATGGTGTGGTTACAAGACTTCTCTGAACTTCACGTCTGTTTATTTCTGTATCTGTAAAATTAAAATTTTTAGTACCTTTTACTTACTGCAGAGGAGATACATTCTTGATGGATATTCGTGTGTTTTGCCAACAGAATACCTTGATTTGCAATTCTTAGAACAGTGGGATTAAATGCAAATCTCTTGGAAGTTTAAAACATTGAGGCAGATGATGGGCATTTCTGGTTGTGGTGGCTAGAGAACTGCCATATGACAGGTGAAAATAACTGCAACACAGTTTTTTTTTCATCTTCCTTAAGAAAAGTGTATTTTTATCGAAGTTGCATGAGCATCCCAGAAAACGGTGCCGGATAATGCAGCGTTTACAGTGTAAGGGTGGGTAGTAAATCCGTTGACACTGTGGTAGACTTGAAGTTCTTCAATTGAGTATTGCCTTTGAAGCAGTCTTGCTTCATATTCAGGAGGTCCCAATTCAGGTCTTGGACTGGAGACCAGCTCTTCTGACTGAGGTTCTCCTGGGTTTTCATTGGTACTTTCAGGCATCTGCCAAGGTAGTACCAAAAATAGGTAATGCTCATTCCCTTGTACAGTTTTTTGAAACCATTATCCATTAATCATCCTTGACACTATATAACCTGAACTTTGAAATCAGAATTAAGTAAATCTTAAATACACAAGTTAGTAAGTAGATTCTATAGGGTTCTGACGATGGTATATAACACTCAGAATTACTGGGTTTTTGGACTTCATCCCTTGACTGGTATTTTAAGTAACACAACGTTTCGGAAACTGGATCTGTTTCCGTCCACAGGTGAGGGGGTGGGAAGACACCACCTCAGTTGGATCCCATAGAAAGAGAATGGAAACAGATCCAGTGTCCAAAACGTTGTGTTTTCTGTTTTCTATGAGTAGAATACCGGATGATTGACAGTCCAAAAACCCTGCAATTCTGAGATATAAGTAAGTAATTAAGTAAGTAAATTCAGGTATTTAGAAATTATATTTATAATGAAATTAAAAGTAGGTCAGATAGGAAAGTGCTTGCTAACTTTGCAGCTCAGAATCTGTCTTTTATATGCTATATAAAAATCGAAAAATGTAGAAAACTAATATTGCCTCTCGTTTGATATGTGTATTTTACTTATCACTATAAATTTGAACTCAGATAGTTAAATCAAATTGACACTACATTCTGAATTCCATATATATTGTCTCAAACTTTTCAATGAAGTAATGAAATTATATTATACTATTTGGGATAAGGGATATAAGTCTCTAGCTGCTGTGATACTGGTGGCCCTATTTTGACTCTGTGGTAATGGGATTAATATCATAAACACAGTGGTGATAGGCCTGCTGGGTTACAGCATGTGCTGACACAGTTGAGAGACACTTGGACAGTAAAGATTAATTAACATGCAATCTATGGATGAACAGTCACAGTGTTGCTGAATTGAAATACTATTTCAGAAGATTTTAAATCTATTTATACTAGTTATGTGTTATTAGGCTATAACTGGAATTAATGGTGGGGTGTATTAATGTGTGGCAGAGAAAGGTTTGGACCACGTAGCAGAAAGTATCCTCTCGTACCTGGATGCCGATTCCCTTTGTGCAGCTGAACTGGTCTGCAAGGAATGGTATCGAGTCATCTCAGAAGGAATGCTATGGAAGAAGTTAATAGAAAGGAAAGTTAGGACAGACTCTTTATGGAGAGGTCTTGCAGAACGGCGAGGATGGTAAGAATATGTGGATCTGTAAACATCTCTTGATATGACATGTGTAAATATTAAGAATGTCACTTTCATGTGTATTTCCTGATTGATGAATTTTGCTAATCAAGGAAAATTCCTATAAACTTGTTATAAAATCCCATCTGAGCTGCAGTGTGGAACACACAAGGTTTCCAGATATGTTCGTCCCAGTTTTGTGTTTTCCATGCTTGCTTTCCTCTGGCTATTCCCTTCATATTGTTCTTCAGCAAAAAGAAACAAGAACAAACTCTGTGGCCTGTAGTTCACAAGTGAACTATACCGACCGAGCGACCACCGCTTGTCAGTGAAGTTAGTGCAAAATTTTCTGGATAGAGGGTGTCACATGGTCAGTGCAACGGATCCCCACAGCCGTTAATTCGGTATTCTAGACCGGAGCCGCTATTTCCTTCAAATAGCTCTTCAGTTATCCTCACGAAGCTGAGTGGACCCCATTCCAGATCCATTACTTCTCAAAAAATCTGGTAGTGCCTGTAATCGAACCAAGGACCTCTGGATCTGTAGCCAGGAACTCTGACCACAAGACCACAGAGATGGTCGATTGGGCTTCAGTCTGACTATAATTTAGCCAGAAGAAATACAGAATTAACCACTGAGTACATTAATGGCCTGCATATTTTCAAGCAAGTGTTTGCTCATGTACAGCTTTGGTGTTCACTTGTCGTGGATATAGGTTTGTTTAATCGACAGTAGAGATGTTAAAACATTTAGAAAAACGTATGAAGTAAACATATATCTTAATGAGAAAATGCTATGTGTCCATTTGTGGGGTACTTGACAGAGTTTAACTTGAGCATCACGTAGAGCAAGAGGTAGTAGATAAATACAGAATGGAAGTAAATTTGTTTTGTAACTTACGTTTAGAGCTCCCATGTCAGCATCCATTTGGATCTGTCAAGACATAGGTTCCCAGACTTTGTTATAGCATGACCCTCTAAAATAATAAGTAAATTTGATGAAAAGTGCAGTTTTGCACAATGTTGCAAGTCTCTGCCAATCTGTATGGCTGCATCAGAAACACAAAACAGTGTTGCAGCCTCTCTGCATCTACCATGTGCTTTAAAATGTTCATGTACAATCAAGAAAAAAATTAATGAAATGTTTCCCTTCCTGCAAGTAGATTTTCTGAAAGCATGGGTATGAAATCGTACATACTGACTTGTCAGAACTGCATGGGTACAATTATACAGGTATGCCAAAATGTACTCACCCTTTTAATTACACCAAATGCAGTGTTCTTTAAATAGATATCAGGTTAATGATTTAAATTGAAGGAAACAAGAGTACTGCACCATTCATGTTCGCAAATGTTCAAACTAATGACCATCATTATCCAGACAGAGCTGATAACGCGAAACAGTGGAATCACAAACTGTACAAAGCATTTCATTTGGAATTTGAAGACAGTGTCCTTCAATTTCCTCTTTCAACCCATGGACTGTTGCTGGTTTTGTGGCATGAACCTTATCTTTGAGGTATCCCCATAAAAAGAAGTCCATGTGTGTGAGGTCCGATGAAGGTGCAGGGTATTCAACGCTACCTCTTCGCCCAATCCATCTGTCCGGCAAATTTATATCGAGGTAGGCCCTTACTTAACGATGGTAGTGGAGAGGTGCTCCTTCTTGTTGGAAGTAAATTTCTACATCACCAAACAATTTCAGTGAGTTACAGACAGTCAAAGAGTGAGTACATTTTTGGGACATCCTGTATTTTAAATAGTTCTTGAGATGTATGTCGAACCCCCCCCCCAAAAAAAAAGAGACACCATGTTCTAAGACACAAGATTGTTTGCAGTGTAGTCCACTCATCCTTGAGAAAGAAGGAAATATGGAACAAAGTTTTACTAGAAGGCTGCTATAATTCCAGTTATTGTTCTCTACAATTTTGAATGTGATATGTAGCTGCGCATTACAAAAGCAGTTGCCATCAGTGTTTAAAAATCAAGTAAAGGATTATCCCTATATAAACTGGTCTTATATAAAAATCAAATGCCAAAGTTATGTACTGTTTTTTCTGCACTTGTATAATTATGCAGATTTTATTTGTAATTGCTTTTCTTTTTCTCTACAGGATACAGTATTTATTCAAACCAAAGCCAGGAGAAAGTCATCCAAATCATTCATTCTACAGGACGTTGTTCCCCAAAATAATTCAAGATATAGATGTAAGCTGAAGTTATATTAAGTACAAGCACAGTAGCTCATTGAAGGTCGCAGTGCAAGCGCCAGTTTTTATGGCCCATCCTTTACATACATACATACAGGATGATTCAGAAAGATGGACGCAGTTTCAGTTGGCTATTTTTCCTGAATTATATGTTGCATTTGAATTCTGTAAATTACATTTGATTATACATACATGGAAGTTTATAGATGTTCAATGTGCCCTCCTCTGGCTGCACGGATAACATCTAGACGGTAGCTGAATTCATCCCACACTCAATGACAAATATCTTGCATCACTGAGTACACCACAGCTGGTCATTCAAATTTTTGGGAATAGATGGTACGTAAACTGCATCTTTCACGAATCCCCACAGGAAAAAATCGCAGGGTGTGAGATCAGGAGACCTCAGTGGCCAGATCTGAAGTGCCAGGTCTTCATTCCCCATGCGACCTATCCATCGGTGAGGTAGAGATTCATTCAGGAAACGCTGAACATTCAGGTGTCAATGGGATGGAGCTCCGTCCTTCTGGAAAATGTAATCTCCTGAATCTTCATTCATTTGAGGAACAAGCCAGTTTTGCAGCATTCTAAGATACGTTACTCCAGTAACTTGTTTTCATCAAAGAAGAAAGGTCAATAAACCTTTGTTAACGATATTGCACAGAACACATTAACTTTCGGGCTGTCCCTCACATGTTCGAGTGTTACATGGGGATTTTGTAGCCCTCATATGCGAACATTGTGCCCGTTGACTTTCCCACTTAGGTGAAATGTAGCTTAATTGCTAAAAATTACATGAGGCAGAAACAATTCATCTTCCATGTTTTTGAGCGCTCCACATTCTCCTCCGATACACGCGATCGGCCCGGGCTTTTACCCTTACACAGAGAGCCAGTTTCATCAAATTGTTTATTCCAATGATAAATGCTCTTCCTCGTTGGAGGTTGGATGTTAAACTTATGATGAAATGCACGCTGCACCGCAGTCACAGACTCACTTTTGCTGAACTCACAAATGTAAAAAATCTTGTGTTGCATAGTAGCCATCTCGCTTACAACTGACGCAGTGCTGGAGTGGTCTAGCGGCAGTATTAGAAACTTTACAACATCCTCTTTCAAATGTACTTTACAGAATTCAAATGCAACATATAGTTCATCTATCTGAATCACCCTGTATATTAAGTACAAATTTCTAGTTTAGTACTCTTGTATAGAGTCTGTATTTCATCATCTGGTGTTATAGTCATATAACTTTTTATGAACCTTTGAGGTAAGCGATCAAGGCAAAATGTACATCCTTTAGTAATTTACAGTTTTAATAACTGTAATTTTGGATGTAAGATGTAGAGTATAATTTTATAATAAATTAATTTGTCTCCATTTTTTTTACAATGAGCCTTACTCCCAGGTTATTTCCGTAGAAACAGTGGCAGTTATGTTATAGCCATGTATATAGAGTGCATTCGCGTTTTATGCGAGGAATGCATTCGTAAAGACCTCACATATTTCAAAACCCACGTAATTCAATACAAGTTTTGAAACATAAATATGATTATAGCCGAATTTTGGGCAATATTTGCATTATTTCAGCCTTTTCATTTAAAGTGAGGTTTTATTAATGTTCTTTAAATCACACTGTTTAAGATTCACATAAAATGTGACTGCATTTTGTCTTATTGTTTTCTCTAATTTCATATTATTAAACTCACAGTAAACCATAACAATACCTGTTGGATGCTAATGTATCTAACATGAAAAGTATTACTGGAAATATATCATGGTACTGCGTGTGACAGCTTAATAACTAGGTGGTTCAAATATGACGGACTGATTTTTTTGTAAACAAGCCGCACTGCGCAGCAGCTGTGCAACCTTGAGAGAGTGAAGCCACAACCTCCACCCTCCCTCCTGTTAGGGTTAGAACCTGTTCAGTCCTGTCTGGTAGTTGCTAGAGTGATGAGTGAACAGAAGGTACCGCGGAGCTTGGAACAATGCATTGTGATCAGATTCCTCGGAGAAAACGTCCCATCCGCTGAAATTCACCACAGACTCCAACAACAGCATGGGGAAGAGTGTTTCTCATGGACCCGTATGTTTGAGTGGTGTAAGTGCTTCAGAGAGGGCAGAGAGCGCGTGGAGAATGAACCGCATGATCGTCGGCCACGAACATCCGTCACCAAGCCAAATATTGATCATGCAGACGCACTTATTCATGAGAATAGGCGCATCACTATCAAGGAACTTGGAGCAATAATGCTGTCCATCAGTGTTGGTAGTGTAGAAGACATCATGAAATACCACCTACACTATCGCAAGGTGAATGCATGGTGGATACCACGCACTTTGACGGACGTGAACAAAATGGTGCACATGCAAGTTGCCAGTCGTCTCCTACAGCAGTTTGAAGACGAAGGTGATGCATTTTTGAAGTCTGTAGTGACCACCAATGAAACGTGGGTGCACTACTTCATTCCCGAGTCCCAGCAATCATCACACGAGTGGTGGCATACCAGTTCTCCCAAACCCAAGAGAGTGCGGAGGAGCTGTTCGGCAGGAAAAGTGATGGCAACGTTCTTCTGGGACTGGCAGGGGGTTATCCATGTAGACTTTCTGACAGATGCCAGAACAGTCAATGCAGCTTATTACTCAGACCTCCTGGCAACAGACGTGAAGGAAAAGATCCGATCCAAGCGGAAGAGAGGTGGAAAGCGGGTAGCCTTCCTTCAAGACAATGCACGCCCCCATATGGCCAAAACAACAATGGAAACCCTCCAGAAATTGAAATGGAACCTTCTGACACATCCGCCGTACAGTCCTGATTTGGCACCAAGTGATTTCTACCTGTTCGGAAGGCTCAAATCAGACTTGCAAGGCATACGGTTTGTGAATGACGCCATCATCCAGAATGTTCGGGAGTGGATACGCCGCCAACCACAAGACTTTTTTGAAAAAGGCATCAGGATGCTTCCAGAATGTTGGAAAAAATGTGTTGACTCCGGAGGGGAGTATGTTGAGGACTGACATGTGGAAGTAAGTGTTTGGCAATTTTGGTTAAAAAAAAAAAATCAGTCCCGGTCATATTTGAACCACCTTGTAACATGTGCCACCTTGTCAATGGAATCAGCAGTGACAGCAGAGAATGCAGGCAGTAAAAGTCTGACCAGTATATTGCTATGAAAGTTTATGTTTATAATTCTTGAGTAGCTGAGTCACTCAACTAGTCCAGAAATTCCATACATTGTATGGAACCTTGTTGACAAGAACCTGCATCTGGACCCTGCTCTGAGCCAATTGAATCCAGTCTGCACTCTCACAACCTATTTCATCCTTGATTTGATTCCCCTAATAATATTTTGTGAGGGGTATAAATTATGAAGCCCCACATTATGCAGTTTTCTCCTTCCTTCTCTTAGTACAGCTCTTTTTGTGACATATTTTCTCAGCTCTGTGTTTTCTTTAGCATGAAAATCCAAGTTTCGCTTTGATCTAAAGCATCAGGTAAAACTATAGTATATTATAATCAGTTTTAGATAGGAGATAGGAAGACAAAAGGTTTTGAACTGAGTGATAGTGAACATGCCTCTGATCTACTCTGTTCTTAATTGTTCATAAATGTACTGTTATTGGTACTGTTATTCTGAAATAGTGCAGAAAATAGAATTTAGAGTAATTATTGTGTTGTATTTTGTCATATGTAGTTGGGTGGTAGGAGAAATTGGCTTAAAACCGGGAAATTGTAGCATTATCATCATCATCATCATCATCGTCATATTGTGTGGTACATGGAGTTAATTACACATAAAATTATGATGTAGGGAACAGACTTGCAAATTTTCTGACATCACTTGTTTAATATTTCAGAGTATAGAAAATAATTGGAGAATGGGAAGACATGTTCTGCAGAGAATTAACTGCAGGTCAGAAAATTCTAAAGGAGTTTACTGCCTGCAGTATGATGATCATAAGATTGTGTCAGGTCTCAGGGACAATACGATCAAAATATGGGATCGGAACACACTCCAGTGTACTAAGGTATTTATAAAAAGTTGCCATCTTCCAGTCTTCCATGCATCCAGAACTTAGCATGAATTGGCTCAAGGACAAGGAAATACTAACTGTGCAATAAAATTAGGTGATCACTGTTACAGATCATTGCACAGATATGCATATTGCTGAAATTAAAATGTGCTGAGAAAATTTTACTTTTTTTTTTTTTTTTAGTTCACGTCGTCATATTGGAGATTCAGTGCAGGGAAATTTTTCTGTGATTTGATTCTCTTACGTTTAATTTTTGTGTCTGTATTCCTGTAACTGACCTACCCAGTTCTGTTTATGAAATTATTATTCTTTTCACCACTTACTGCAGATAGTGTAATACAGTAAAACCTCATTAATTGGAAGCACTTGGTACCAAAAATACAAACCTTGAGCACTGTGTTTTTGCTGCTGACTAACCTTCTAAACATATGAGTTTATATAAGGGGTATTAGTGTTGTATTGGACTGCTGATAAATGCTAAACCTTAGTTCTTAAAGAGAACATCATAAAACAAATGTGAGTAATTGGAAACCTTAAGGAAGGACCAGTGAGAAGGAATATGGATTCTCATGACCCTGTAGCTCATTCCACTTACTGTACCCCATGTGGCCTATGCTGAGGCTGGAGAACACTATCTCTACTCCTCTCACTGTTTGCCATGCAGTCCAGTTTGTGGCAGGTCACAGGTTTGTGTATAAATATACTGTGTGAACAGAACACTCATCACATCAACCCCTGATGATCGAGACAGAGACAGTGTCTGAAATGTCAGACACTAACTAATCGCTGACAGAGATGATTGCACAAAAATACTTCATGGTATTAGTTCTAACATAAAAATACACTGAAAATATTCAAATTTATTGAAATAAAATCAGAAATTCAGCTTGTACAGTAATATACAGCTCTCACAACATAGTATCACTGATCTTGTTATGTCATTGTAACTGAGAAGGTGAATAAATTTTCCCCAGCATAATAAAGACCTAGTACATTTTGGAAATGGACTCTTGCATTGTGCCTTTGACTTTCACAACAGTAATATGTGTTTGTACATTTTATTACATAGTGTAATGTCCCTAATGCCACATGGGCTTCATTCTATGTCATACATAGGGGAACTGTTTTCTTCTCATCATGCCCTTTCAGAAGCGGGGTGGACTACATTTTGTTCAACGTAATATTGTGACGATTGTTCAAGAATGTCCATAGTGATTTAATTGGCAAAACTAAGATATGACTTGCCCTTGTAGCTCTGTCCAGTTATTGTTCTCGTGGTTTTCTTCATGACATATCTGTATGCCAGAGTCCTTTGCAACACCATCACAGATAACTGTACTTACAGAATTCAGAGCTACTACAATGGTTAGCATTTTATCAACATCCAGTTTCCTAATTTCTGTCATGGACATTTCCTTTCTCTTTCACACTGATGACAAAAGATAAAGCATATTTGATATGTATATTTCATTCAGTGATCCCAGGGCTGCATATAAGTTTTAGTATTTGGGTTAAATACAAAAGTTAAACCTCTCTCAGTTGAATGTTTGCAGCACCTTAGTCAAACACGAACACAATTTTTCATGTTACATGCCAGTTTTCTTTTCAAGCGCAACAGTCGCGGGCAGAACATCATTGCAGGAACTCATCCTGTTCTTACTGTAGTGATGGATCCCAATTTCTGTAGCCTTACTAATCGACATAATAACACAAGGTTATCTTTCCTTATGAAATATGAAAGGTAGAAATATTAATATAGGCTTTCAAGTAAACAGTGAGTTCAGGTTGAGCATAATGCAAAATTATGTTCTGTTAATAGTGTATTGTTGGGATTCCTAGTATAAAATGTCGTTACAGTTATGGCATGCATTTAGGGGTGGAAGGATTTTATGACCATAAATTTCCCATAAGACTTCCCTTGTGTTTTATATTTGTATGTGATATATGATAGTTTTACTGGCATGTTTATTTATATACTTATTAATTCATTCATTCATACCTTAATATTTTTCAGGTACTCACAGGTCACACAGGTTCTGTGCTGTGTCTTCAGTATGATGATAAAGTAATCATCAGTGGCTCAAGTGACTCAACAGTCCGAGTATGGGATGTTGGCTCAGGTGAAATGGTGAATACACTCATACACCACTGTGAGGCTGTTCTACATCTGCGATTCAACAATGGCATGATGGTCACATGCTCTAAGGTTTGTATTGTCGCGTATTGGGCGTATAATGCGACAAATAACTTCACGCCGGATTTGATATAGCGAATTTTATTTCACATTCGCACTTACAATCACACAATTGACAGTTTTAGAACTACTGCTATCTGCAGTATCACAGATACTACACTTTAAATGCCACAATACAACTGACTGATTGCTGGCTAACTCAGAACTAACTCGGAGGTAGCTCGAGGACTAACTGTGAATAGCCTTCGCTGCTCCTCATGTAGCCTCGATCAGACAATACAGAAAACGGCCACGTAATAAGCACCCTTGTTGCCTGGCGCTGTGTTGCTAGCAACGCTAGCGGTAGTAACCGCTGTTACTACCATCGTCTCTCGCAATCCTGTTTACCCGCGCTGCCTAGCAACCCGCGGTACCCTTGGTGACGTCATCGCTGTTGACTCGCGTTGCCTAGCGACCAGGATGCTAGGACTCGGCTAACTTCGGCTCACTTCGGCTTTGCTCGGCGCATCACGGCTGGCGGTGGGGGGAGGGGCGTCATCCATAGCTCAACATGTCACAGTATATTTGAATATTAAGTTCGGTATGTGCTGCAGATGATACAGAATTTTAGTATGTATGTTTGTATTAAGTACTTAACTGATGCAAGGGCCATAAGTCATTGAAGGTTCTCATGTTTTAAGATCAAAATGCAGTATTCACACAATAAATGTAACATGTTATACAGTTTTACAAGGGAAAGAAAATGTTACCCTGTGTCCTTGAAATGATCTTAAATGAGTAGTGTCTGTGTACATATACATAGATGTTCTTGGCAGAAATGGTGGTAAAGAATTAAAATTGAGTGAAATAATGTTACAGGATCGCTCAATTGCAGTCTGGGATATGACGTCGCAGACTGAGATTACATTGCGTCGAGTACTAGTTGGACATCGAGCAGCAGTGAATGTGGTAGACTTTGATGAAAAGTATATTGTTTCTGCTTCTGGTGACCGGACCATCAAAGTGTGGAATACTTCAAATTGTGAATTTGTGAGGACCCTGAATGGACACAAACGGGGGATTGCATGCCTCCAGTATAGAGATCGACTAGTTGTTAGTGGCAGCTCAGACAACACTATCAGGTTACTCACGATATTTTGAAGTCTTACTATAAGCAATCGTATAAATTTGCCCCTCAGGTGAATATTGTAGTCTGATATATATTCAGCGTATTTTTGAAGGAAATTATGGATGTTAGAAACTGGACAATTATTGTGCAAGAGGTATACAGGGAGTCTTTTCCAAATGCTCATGAAGAGTCAGACACTTCTTCTGTGAAGTTGAGCTGACCCATAACAAGGTTAGTTTGATTCATGTGGTTCTTTTCTCAGAAACTCGTTACATTGCAACAAAAATAGTGACTTGTTTAGGAGGAAACTGACATTGCTGAGCAGGGACCTCAGAATGAAATAAATGTTTTTCAATCTGTTTGGTATTGGTGGTGGTAATATTTTGGAGAGTAGAAGCGAGATCCTGGGCTAAGTATGCTTTCTTGCAACCATCATGGAACTCATGGAGAAGGCTGAAAACTGCTTGAAAACAGGGAGCAACATCAGTGGCAGGGATAATGGGAACAGTAGGTTGAAATATGGTAAGATGGTTATGTTTGCTACCTGCTATGCCACTCTACTCCGTAGTGATCAGTTACCATGTACAAACAAGAAGTTCAGCAATAACTTAATACCTACTTTATGGGCCATGCCATAGCTCAACCGGTCAGTTGCTGGCTTCCCACCATAGCGGCCCAGGTACGATCTCGGGGTCTGATCAAGCGGGAGTTGTGGTTGATAAAGTGGCGCTGGGGTGGGTTTCCTCTGAGTACTTCGGTTTCCCCTGCCAATCTTCATTCCACCAAATTCTCCATCATCATAATCACCTAGGGCAGGCTACAATCAGCCAATCAGTTGCCGCCTTGCTGAGTGGACCCAGTAGGACTACACCCCCCAATAAGAGAATTAAAAATATTTAATACCTACTTTCCTTGAGGTGCTCTATTTGATGTAATGAGGTTAATAAGAAATTTAGAATAATAACTGTACAGTTTAGCAATATATTCTGTGCATTATTTTCACAAGTACAGATTCCCAAATTATTAAATGCCCTAGAATTATTAAATATAATTATTAAAGCCCTAGAGTTTCATGCTGTCACCATATTTGTACTTGTGCCATTGGTTGGTTTGTTCATGTTGTAGTTGTTTTACCTTCTAAAGTGTTTGCCTCAACATGTTTCGCATATATTTCAGAGATCTAATACCACACAAGGATCACCACTGTGGTCTAGTGGTCAGAGTTCCTGGCTACAGATCCAGAGATCCGGGTTTGATTCCTGGCACTACCAGATTTTCTGTGAAGTAGTGGTTCTGGAATGGAGTCCACTCAGACTCGTGAGGATAATTGAGAAGCTATTTCAAGGAAATAGCAGCTCCGGTCTAGAAAACTGAAATTAACAACCATGAGGATTTGTTGCACTGACCACATGACACCCTCTATCCGCTAAAGTTGGCACTAACTTCGCCAACAAGTGACGGTCACTTGTGGACTAAAACCAGGGAGGTTTTTTTTATAGTACCACACAATATTTACATAAAGTATGGCTGGTGTCTCACTCCTCTCAGAAATTTTCACTGCCAGCCTTTTGACATTAGTGATTGCAGGAAATGAAAGAGGTTAGATGTGGTGTGGCTTGTAGTAGTATGAGATTCATGTCAAGTTTCGTGAAAATCTGGCAGTTTAAAAGTAAATCGGGCAAAGAGGGAAGGGACATACACTCAGTTATGTACACATGGGTGTGATATAATAAATATGGAAAGTAAGATTAACATGAGGTCACCATTAAGTTTGTAAAATTAGAATTATGTGCAAAGATATTACATAAATGGAGGACAATTTTTGTCTTCTCAGGATGAGTGATTTGTTCCCCTGATTGAGAAAAGTTTCAGCATAGATAAATCATGAATTTTTTCTTTAAATTTTCTGCTTCTTATTGTGGCGCCTCATCATCAGAGGAAGTTGGTTTTGAAACATCCAGTTAATGGAGTGACAAAACAGAAATTAACTTACTGAAAAGAACAATTAGTTGTTCATTGAAATGCAAGCAAAATGTTTTTCTGTTAGGCTCATACATCTAATACTAAATGTGTGAAATATCATTTCTGAAGTTGTTCGAGAAACTAACAGGTTTAGTGCATGGGAATTATGTGAAAAGGGAAGTCTTGGCTGCTCCACATTATTGCATGAAAGTACCAATACGAAGATCCAAACATTAGATTGAGAGGGGGGAGGGGGGGAGAGAAAAAAAGGCATGGTTATATGTTTTGAACTGTGTCTTGTTTTATGGTCACATTCATGCTGGCTCCACCTTGAGGTAGGATTTTGTTGGCTGGCAGTTTCTTCTGCAGGCATATGCATCAAATGGCAAATAATAAACAAGTGGTTCAGCCATATTCACTAACATGAAGATAACATGAAGACTTGCCCCCACTGGCAGTATGCTTAAGAGTTCACCTATCCCTTTTGCTTTGTACAAGAATGGAGCCACTTCTACTGTAAAAGAGAGTGTATATTATTTTGACACTTGACTGGTGACAAGCTAGAGGTTCTGTAGTTCCAGCTTTTGAATATAACATTTTAAACATGTAAATGATTATTTGAAATCTAAACTGTTTTGCATTTCTCAGTTTAGTAAAATGGTGTTTTAGGCTGGTGATTGTAATGAAAAACACAATTTAAAGATTTGTCCTCAGATTTCTTAGGAACCTCATGGAATGCCGAAGTTGGCATATAGCCCGTGAATCACTGGTATAAACATATAGTAATTTTGAAGGATGTTTAATATGCTGTAATTATGAAACTAGAAATATAATCTAAGTTGTGTTTTACCTACATTGAGACTATCATGAGATTAATTTATATCACTAAATAGGAATCTTAATAGAACAGCGTGCTGAGCATTCAGGAATATTTTAGATATGACATATTTGCTCAAAGCAAGAACTGTGGAACAATTGCTAGAGTAACTGCTGTTTAACACACAACAGTGGAGTAACTGCTGGAAGCCATGTTTTCTGTGTGATCCATGCCAAGGCTATATAATGACCAGCTGCCATTACAAGGGGAGTCTTGAGATGGCAGTTAGAAGAGTATGAGTTTGGTGTGATGTGGCCATCAGCCTGGAAGGACTTGAGCCTGGGAGCAGGGAAATATCCACTGATGAAGACACAGCAGACTGAGAAGACTTAGTGCGTGCTCTAGTGAACTGCAGAGAGAGAGTGAGTGAGTGCGTGCGTGCGTGTGTGCGTGTGCGTGTGTGAGAATTAGGGATAGCGCTATTAGCTACTTGTAGTTACAATCTGTAAGTGTTCAATAAAGCGTCCTCCGTAGTCTATGGGTAGTGTTCCCACCTCATGACTCAAGTTACATGGGTTCAAACCCGGCGGAGGTCGTGGAATTTTTAAGGGCAGAAAAATTCAGGGAACACGTCCTCCGGGAGGGACTTTAAGCCGTGGGTCCCGTGTCATAGATTTATGGCACGTAAAAGATACTCATGTCTCTAGGAGACCTCTGAGCAAAATTAGGTAAAAAGTTTCCCGCCCAAGTAGTTTCCAATGCCTCCGGTAGATGGGGAAGTTATCAGGTACCAATGCCAGCAGAGGGCCGACCTCGCTGGCAGAAATGGGAGAGTTATCGGGTACCACTGCCAGTAGAGGCCCGAAACCTCGCTGGCAGAAAGGGGAGATAGCGGGCACCAGTATCGGTAGGGTATGGCGACAGTAGAAATTAAAGGGGGACGTACAATAGACTATTAGTCGTGGTGCATGGGAAAACCCACCCCCTCTATACTGAATAACTGAAGTGTTCAATAAATCCAATTACCAATCCAAACCCCATCTGTAGTCACTCTGTCATGTGATAGTATATTACTTTCAAGTGCAGCTCATTCTTTTAATAATGTTTAGATGGTGAGAGAAGGCAGTAACTTTGTTTTCAAGTGCATATTTAAACTGTTCACTTGGTACAAGACTTTGAAGCTTCTGTGGAGGCGAGAAGTCATATAATCTTCTCAGGCAATTGTCCACTAAAATTTAAACTGGAAGTCTGACATTCAGAAACCTTTCTGCCTCCATTGTCAGGGAATGATCCTCTACAACGCATCTCTTTCTGGAAAGCATCACATCACATCACCATTTTGATCACTCAGGTCTCACAGTAGGCTTCTGTTCTGAATTTATGTGGTTAGTTTCCCAAGAAGATTTTTGTTATGTTCAGTTGGTGTTTGGGTCTAATGTTATTTTTAAAGAGTGTTTAGATTTCACTGTCCTTGCAGTACCAACTGTATAGCATTTGCATTTCCTGAAGACTGGGCTAATGCATGAATTTTGTTATCATCTGTGTGAACATCAGTGGAAGAAGATATAAATTGAGTAGCTTGGTTGTATGTAGACATGTAAGAGTGTTCAGCATTTTGTTCCAGCAAATTTTATATGCAGTTATTCAGCTGTATAAGAAACAACTCAAACAGCCTCATTGTAAGCTGAAACACATCACATGGTACATTTTAATTTGTAATTATATTGGAGTAACTGATTTTTAAAAGGTGGTAGACATAGTGTATATTATTTATATAACACGGTGTAAAGTATAGAATGAAATGAGAGTTTTTACTTATGTTATATCATGGCAGTTTATTTTCTGCAAAGGCATGCAGTGAGTTGAGATTTACAAGTTTGGAAATAATAGCTTGGTTACCAGTGGATTCGATGCAGAATTTTGTGAGATGTGGCAGTGGTGATCTCTTTTGGCCCTTTGAATTTGTAAGAAGTTGTTGGGTACAGATTAAGGATACAATAAGATTCTGGATGAGCTAATTAGCATTATTCTTGTTCTTTTAATCCAGTGCTGGCTAGTATAATTTCTTTAATGTGACCCCAGAATTTTACTAATAACAATCTGGTTATTTGAAAGCAAATGCTTTTGGTCTGAATTCAAAGCAATGAATTTTTTATGTGCTTCATTGAACTTAAACAGATTTGCGTATTACTGTGTAAAGTTGCCTCGTGGTGATAAAGGTACAGTTGTCTTTGTGCATAATTGAGCATCACATCTTGAAGATGTATGGGGGAGTGGATTTATAACTCCACACATTCGAAACCCTGGCACCAGATGGAGGTGAGTGGCCAACTCTTTTGCAATGGCTACTTTTCTCTTGGGGAAATATCCACTAGTAACTGTTAGGTAGGAGATTTGGTGCCAGTCTGGAATTTGTGGAGAGGAGAAAAATCTCTTTTCCCATGCCAGAAATTGAATACATGCATTATATGTAAGCTTATGTATGTACTGTATGTACTTATATAATTTACATGCCTGTACTTGCAAGAAATTTCGGGAAAAATTAGTCAGTACACTTTACCTTTGTGACCAATGCATGATTTTCCTTAAAAATATGATTAGTCACATGCATTAGTGTAACATGTATGGGGAATTTCAGTCATGTTTTGCATGAAGATTAGGTGTTGGTTAAAATATTTCAAAGTGGCATTTTGTTTTGACGTTAATCAGCAAATGTTGTGATGATGTGTATATAATGACTGTTAAGTTCTCATATTATTTTGTCAAAATATCAGAGATCACAGATAAAGTGAGGTTACAGTCCAAGAAAGGTGAATCATATATGGAAAATGTGATCATACACCTTGCTGAATTGACAGAACATAGAGGAATTTTCTGTTTTGTACTTGGAGTTACTTTCACATGGATATGTGAAGTCACTAAGAACTGACAGTAGCCATTATTATATTAATACCAAAGGAATCCACTGATTAGATGTTAGGTCTTTGGGTATAGTAGCGTGACATGTAACATGATTCAGGATGTCAGAAATGCACACAAAATTTTAATTGGAAAACCCAAGAGAAACAGGAGGCTAGACATAGGTGTGAGGATAGCAGTGTGTGAAAGTATTGAGTGGATGTAACTGACTGAGGATAAAGTCCAGTATCCAACTTCTGTGATTGGCTGAGTATCATCTTTCAAGAATGGTTTTTTTAATCGTGTAATTAATACAGAAGTCATGAAAGTATAAATGCATGCTCGCTCTTTCAAGCTATTGATATGCTCTCATTTTGCTTCTTTACATAGTGTTTGCCTTTGTCCTTCTAATTTTGCTATTGGATACCCAAAGTTTTAGTCGCCTTAATTTTCATTCTCTCGTTATCTACATCAAGCAGCAATGCCAGGTTTATGTTGCTGATTGTGAATTGGAAGCTAAAATAATTGCATTTCATGTAATCTTTAACTTTAGATTAGTAATCAAGGTGAAAGGATGGCCGCACCATAGCTCAAGCGGTTAGTCGCTGGCTTCCCACCTCAGTGGCCCGGGTTCGATCCCAGGTCTGGTCAAATGGAATTTGTGATGGACAAAGTGCTGCTAGGGCAGGTTTTCTCAGAGTACTTCAGTTTCTCCAGCCAATCTTCATTCCACCAAATTCTCCATCATAATAACCCGTGGCAGGCTACAATAGGCCGATCAGTGGCTGCCATGCCGAGTGGACCCAGTTGGACTCCACCTCCCAATAAGCAAATTAAAAGGTGAAAGGATGATAGGCGAAGATCATCTTGTTCTCATTAGGAAAACTTCGCTTTAATGCCCTGCAGAATATACTTCCACATCCTAGCACTTTGAAAGTAAATGATAATTTTTAGGTTGTAAGTTATTACGAAGTGAAGCAAGACAATTTTTATGTTGGTGTAAAGTCATGCACAAGGTAGATATACCATGGAACAGGATTTGATCCTTCCCATATTATATGTCAGAGCCATATGTTCTAGAACTATCTAAAGAAAAGGACCCAGGAAGGGAACTTGACAAATTGTACCGGTCACCTCAAGGTTGTGTATTTGAGAAAATAATATTAGTTTCTGTATACAGGGTGTCCCAGGAGGAATGTGCCAAACTTCGGGAGGGTGTTCCTTATGTTAAAGTATGCCGATATAACCCAAAACACCTATGTCCAAAGTTGAACGGTTACGGAGATAATGGCCCAAGAAAAGTGTGGTCTTCTGGCAGGTCCAAGCACTGTACCTCGCTGTACCTCTCAGCTGAGAGCCCTTATCTATGTTTGTCCTTGAGTGCGATGATACTCCCTAGCCGTGCTTATGTAGTTGGCTCATACCAGAACGCGCAGTCAGCACGTTACGTCATCGCTCGCCAGTCATGTGTTATGTATACTGCTTGGAAACCTAAGGACAATTATGACATGGCGAGCGAGTATTTTGTACTTCACTTTTATGGCTTTCCGTCACTCACAAGTTAGTTTGATGTTACGTACATTATTAACATTACAGAATCCACATATTCCTGCCAGTTTTAATATGTATTTTGTAATCAACAAGTGTGTAACCCCGGTCAAAGTTTGACACTTCTCTGGCCATTATCTCCGTAACCGTTCAACTTTGGACATAGGTGTTTTGGGTTATATCGGCATACTTTAACATAAGGAACACCCTCCCGAAGTTTGGCACATTCCTCCTGGGACACTCTGTATATAAAAGAGGAATGGAACAAGCTGTCCACACAACTGATAACGAGTTTGTGGGAATACGGATGAAGGTGCCAGCTAATGACTTGTTGGTGGCTTTTGGCATGTACATTTGCACAAAGTTGCTTTTTCTCTAGATAATCTGCAGTTACTGCAGCTATGAAGCTGGGTCTGCCCATTGTATGTTGTGTTTTATCTGAAATGAATATACATTCATATACCAGTTACCATAAAGGATACTTTTGACAGGAATTATGTTCACCGTGAATGAAGTTGATGATGTGCGTACTTAAAAACAGAAAAATCATACTTGTGATTGCCTTCTAGCTTTATGTCAGTATGTGGCCTAGCTTTCAAAATGGTACTATCTTGTAGTTTTAGCATGTTTTACTCTTGTTAATCATACACATAAATTTAATGATCTGCGAAAAATTGTGTAAGGTTTGAAAAAAATTGCCCCCCCCCCTTGATGAGTTAAGCTCTAATTCTTTGGTTTAGTATTTGCTTTGCAAAGTGTCTTTATAAAAATGCGATCTCATAGACGTTTTGGTTTGAGTTGCAAGGAAATGGTGATGTTCAGTATAACATTTTCTCATGCATTTTACAAAAACCCATGTTAAGATGGGGCAAGAAATAATAAATTCAAGAGACAGTTTAATTTGGAAAGAATTTATGTGTAAAATGTTAGGTCAGAGAGATGATATTAAACCACTCACTCTCCGTAATATCTTGCACGTAATATTCTTGGTGTATGCTATATAAGCTTTTTTGTTGGTAGAAGCAAAAAGTGAACTTCTCCAGGCATACCCTGAGACAGAACATATGTTGTCCTGTACCTGATTATGTTTTGTAATACAGATGATGATTACAAATTTGTTACTTGTTGGTTACATATCTAATTACTGAGGCAGATGCCCAGGTGTAAGATTTCAAATTCTTCATCTTCACCTATTCTCCAGGTACTATATGTTATTCTGTCCTGCCTCATATATGACTGTCTCTTCTCTGTCTTCACACATTTAATTTTCATTGTACTTTTTGAGCAATACCTTGTTTAGTATTGCAGGTTCCATTCATTCCTTGGAGATGTCACTTTCATTTCTGTTTTCTTCAATTTTTCATTCACTGAAAATATTCCTGGTTCTGTCTTTAGTTTAATTTCTTATTCTGGCTATTTTTTCTGCAACTCTATAGAGATCTTAAAAATTTTATCTAATCTGGCTGTATTTTCATCCAGCCTTTAGTCTCGTTTGTGCAACTTGATATTCTAAGAGGCATTTAAAGAAGCAGATTTCACACTTCAGAATTCATTATGGCATTTTTATATTTTCCCTGTGGAGCTACTTGTCTTGCCGAACATAACTTCAGTTGCTAAGAGAAGGCTGTAGTTACGTAATGCTTTCTATTCCAATTTTTTGTGTCTTAGAAATGTATTTCACAGTCATGGAAAACAATGGGCAAAATAATAGTTTCTCAGCTGAGTAATAAGCATACTTGAAGTTAATATATTGGGTTTTTGGACTTTATCCATCGTCCTGGTTTTCAAGATAACTAATAAAAACACGACGTTTTGGAAACTGGATCTGTTTCCGTCCTCAGGTGAAGGAAAACACCTATTCTGTTGGGTCCGTTAGAAAGAGCTAGCCTCAATCACTGGATGACAACTAATAACAATTAGTTATCTTGAAAACCAGGACGATGGATAAAGTCCAAAAACCCAATATATCAGTGTGTTATACACTATCGTCAGAATCCTATAGTAAATACTTGAAGTTACTTGCTTAATTTGTTATCCTTGGTCTTTCTTTACCCCTAGATATCCTTATTGCAACACAGTTTCAAATGATGCATTTATGTTGCTATGTTATAATTTTACTGGCTATTTTGATTTTATGATATGCAGTAAAATGTTCCAGCCTTAAGTTTTCATGATGGTTGGGGTTTTGTCCATGTTACACCAGCATACCTGTTCCTTGTGTTCACCAGTATTTTGAGAAAGAAAATTGTTGTAATCCTTTAATATGTTACAGTTCTTGAATTCAGTGCTCCCTTTTCCTTGTTGATTATTTGTTTGGAGTTACAATTTTAATTTTTGTTGCAGATTGTGGGATATTGAATGTGGAGCATGTTTACGAGTACTTGAAGGACATGAAGAACTAGTAAGGTGCATTCGCTTTGATAGTAAAAGGATAGTCAGTGGAGCATATGATGGGTATGTGAATGCACTGTGCAGTGCAGCTGCCTAGTTACAGGCCATTGCTTTGTTTTTTGGTTGTGTGGTGCTTTCTTAATGTCTAAATGATAGTCCTTCATTCATCTAGAGTGACTTCATCAAACACACTGATCTGTAATAAAGCTTCCTTATTAACTTTGTTGTGTTGAAGTTTTTGTAACTCATTATACCAATTTTTTATTTACTGTGCCTTAACATTCTTTATATTTCTGTAGATATTCTCTGTGATTAATCCATTATGTATTGATAAGAAACTTGCCTCAAGGTCACAATGAAATGTCAAGAGCTTTCCTGCAAATCTGATTCATTGATCATTGTCAGGCAATGTGACATTTTTGACCATTTCAGTTAGTTCAAAGGTCATGCAGTGTTCCACAGGGGTTGAGTTTCAGTATATGTTTGTGCTTCACGTTTACATATCCAAATGCCTCTCAGTGTCAAATGTTTTATGTCAGTATAAGAAATAATTGAATAAAGCAATCCCTTATTTGATTTTCTTTTCATATTGTTTGCTAAATAAGATCTAAAAGTTTGTGACAGTGGTACATTAGTACAAATATTATGTTTTTGGGCATTATCCATTGTCTTGTCTTTATCTAAAAATTGTCCTGTTTATATTTCAAGACACAACATTTCAGAGAGTGGATTCTGTCTCTGTCTTCAGGTAAAACCTACTCAGTTGAGCCCCACCAATAAAGCTAGTCCCTATCTCCATCTGCCCCATCTGGACCCCTATTATTGCAGCAGAAGTCAAAAGACTACAATGCTGTCAAGTGTAGTTGGAGTGGTAAAAACTTGTTTTTCTTGTGTTGGTGCTTCTCTCCAGCGATGATTTCAATCGAGATACTTCTCTGGTGCAAGGCATCATATATGTGGAGTAATTTAATGTTTTCTTATTTCTCGCAGATGGTTTGTGCTGTGTTTATGTACCCCTTGAAGCTGGCAGAGGTGTCTGGAGATAGGGACTAGCTCTGTCAATTGTGCCTAACTGAGTAGGTTTTACCTGTAGATGGAGACAGAATCCAGTCTCTGAAACATCTTTTGAAAAATAAACAGGACGGTTTTTAGATAAAGACAAGATGATGGATGATGTCCAGATTTGTAACATTGTTTACTGTTTTCAGAAGTAAGGCATAAATAGAACTACATGAATCTGATTTACAGAGGAAATACAGATTTAATGTTAAGAAATATCAATGAATAAAAATTAGATTTAAACACGTTATTACTACCTGATTTATTATTTAAACAGAACAGTGGTTGGTCAGCGTATGTTCACTGTGTATTGCATGGTGGTTTCTTAAGGTTAAGGGGGTGTCTTGATACTCAGTATCTTTCTACAAAATATTATAGTAAGAAGGAAGAAAGAGATGCATGAGAAATTTAGTTGTACTTCTTTAACTTTCTCACCACTTTACTGTAGTATCTGTTGTATATATTTCTCCCCTGATCTTGATTTGGATCCATTATAACTTATTCCAGTTCATAAGAAGGCTTTGATATATCCTATTCTACATATCCTGCATCATTCTTGTAAATAGGGACCACAGCACATGAAATCCCGTAATTGTAATTCATGTGTTCCTAGTGCCGTAGTTGGTTGAGGCACTCTGCTACAAACAGGCATGTCATGGGCTCGATTCCCAGTGAGGTCACTGGATTTTTCAATCTACCTAATCGTTCCAGCCTCACTATGGCTGCGTGGTCGGCTCAGCCTCTAACAAAAATGAGTACCAGGGATCATCCTGGGGTAAAGGGCAGCTGGTATGTAAGGCTGACAACCTTGTCACCATCTGTGAGCCGATTGTCTGGAAAATATAGGAGCCTCAATGGCTCAAACCCCTGTCTACCTCCACAGCCTGTTACAGGGATAGTTTTACCTTAGTAGTAGCATCTGGAGTTCTATAGATGACCCATATAGTGGATTCTGTGTAACATCAGAAAATAGGGACATTGTGTGACTGGTGCAAGAGTTGGCATACTCTAACCATTGTGTGATAGTAGTGACTGTTGTCAGATGAGGTCAGAATTTCGTTGGTAGTTACTGCATGATCCTAAGCATCTGAAGGTGCACAGTTTTGCATTTACATTGATTACCACATAAGCGTCATATATCATTGGTATTGAAGCCACTCTTTTGGTAATGTTCTAGTATTTAGAGGTGACAGTCCAGGAAAAGCTGGGCATTGGATGGGCAGGTCCATTCATGAAAGTTGAGGGGTGTTGTGATTAGTCATTCGTCTGCATTCAGTGCGAGCAGATGTCCCAAGAGCATTCCTCCTTGTACAGTCAAGTTAAAAAGTTTTGACTCTTGTAGTCATATTTGAATGTATTATTTTCTAATTACTGTACTAATATTTTATTTTATTGTTTATTTTTATTCGTTGATTTTCTTTTTTGTTTATTTATATTTGTACAGTTTTTTCTATCTTCTTTAAGATACCACCTACACGAAGTAAATTGAGTGGAAAAGTGTTGCATTCACAATCAAGAGACATGGTTAGTAATGTATATAAGTACATGAAAGAGGCTGGGCCAACAATTATATAGAAGAACATAGGGGTGGAAGTAGCAAAGGCAACAGGTGTATCAGAAAGTAGTATCAGAAGAATAATATGAGAAACAGAAAATATCGAATCTGGGGCTTCCACTTCCTTTTTGACACCCCATAAAGAAAGACCTAGGAAATCTCCATTAGCCACTTTGGACGACTTTAACGAGTCTGTGGTGCGAAGAACAGTTAATGACTTCTACATAGTCGAAAAATGGAGACCTACCCTGAAAAATGTTCACGAAAAGTTGAAGAAAACGTTAGATTTTCAGGGATGCATCTCCAAATTACAGAAAATTATTTTCAAACTGGGGTTCTGCTGGAAGAAAACAAAAAATAATCGGCAGATACTTGTGGAACAATGTAATATCAGAGCCAAACATCTTCAGTATTTGCGGCAAATTAAAGAATATAGGGAAGAGGGTCCAGTCACATACATGGATGAAACCTATATTCATTCATCGCACACCACCCCATGTGCATGGAATGATGGATCCATCCAGGGATTATTTTCCCCTGTGTCCAAAGGCCAGCGGCTCATTGTTATCCATGCAGGGGGAGATCATCCCTAATGCCTATGTCTGCTTCACATCCCACCAAAAAACAGGAGACTACCACAGTGACATGAACTACACCAATTATGAAAAATGGTTAAAGGAGCGACTTATCCCTAACCTTCCCCCAAATTCTGTCCTTGTCATTGATAATGCTCTCTGCCATAATGTACAGCTAAACAGAGCCCCCAACTCAAATTCAAGAAGAGATTTTATGATATCCTGGCTAAAATATCACCTTCCATCTATTACCTTCAATAACACTGATTTTTCATCATTGCGAAATCCAGACATACAATATGATATGATCCTACCACTCACACCGAAATACCTTTCCTATAAAATAGATGGAATCTTTGCAGAACACAATCACAATATTTTACGACTCCCTCCATATCAGCCAGAACTCAACCCAATTGAGTTAATATGGGCCACCGTAAAAAATTTGGTTGCTCAAANAATACCACATTTAAGATGGATGACGTCATTAAACTGGCAGACCAAAAATTGGCTTCCATAACTGCAGAAGAATAGCAATGTAGGTGCCAACATGTAAGGAACATTGAGCAACAATTAATGGCACGGGAAGGCCTTTTGGATGCAGGATGGGAGTTTGTCTTCCATGTTGGCGATGATAGTGATGACAGTTCTGATGATAGCTCCGATTCATCTGGTGGTGACGAGGAAGGACAGGCATGTGGCGATGATATCTATGCGGACATTGCCGGTGTTGCCCCTTTAGAATAGACCCATGTAATATGTAAATAAACTCTTCATGAATATAACAGTGAAAAGTGTATACTGCATAACAGTCTGCCATTTAGCACTTAAAACTTAACATCGGATGTGTGAACATCAACAAGACTAAACCACCATCACTATTCAACACAATGAGGTAAGAAGTTATTTCCATTTGAGAATGCATGTACTGCATTCCCCGCCACACTTGTTGGCATGCTGGAGCTCTCCCCACCACTACCAGTACTTGTCCTGCCCTGCGTCGGCGGACTGTCACCTCTAAGTACTAGCACTCTACTTTCACTTTGAAGTAACAGATTCGGAACATGTATATAATTGTTAGCGGAACATGTTACATATTGGTTCTAACCAAGTCTTCATAGTGAAAATGTATGCTATTTCTTTTTATTGATTGAAGTGTACTGCTTACAGGAAAATAAAGGTGTGGGACCTGATAGCAGCGTTAGATCCAAGAGCGCCTGCTAGTACACTCTGTTTGCGAACTTTGGTGGTAAGTTTTCTTGCTTCAGGCAATTTCAAAAAGGTTTTAATAAATGCACACTTTGTTGTGCATAACTAATTCTGTCGGAGGAAGGTGGTTGAGAAAGTAATAGTCACTTTGCTAGTCAAGAATTTTCCCAAGTATTTGGGAACTCGGACATTCTTTACATCTTTGAAACTCCCTCTCTCTGGTCCAGAATATGTCACTGTTGTCCAACTTCATATGGCATGATCTCAGTATTTTCACAGTGATTAATTAATTTGATTAGTAGGGGGTGGAGTCCCGCTTCGTCCACTCAGTATAGCAGCCACTGATTGGCCTATTGTAGCCTGCCCCGGGTGATTATGATGATGGAGAATTTGGTGGAATGGACATTGGCAGGGGAAACCGAAGTACTCGGAGAAAACCTGCCCCAGCACCACTTTGTCCACCACAAATCCCACTTGACCAGACCTGGGCTTGAACCTGGGCCACCGCGGTGGGAAGCCAGCGACTAACCGCTTGAACTATGGTTCGGCGTATTTTCTCAGTAAGTGTACAGTTGAACACTAAAAGTACAATATACATCATACAGAGTATATTAAAACCTCTTGGCAGTAAAATATAGGAGAATCGGACTCTGAATTTTGTTTTAAAGCAATCTTTATAAAAGGTTATATGTCATAAGAACAAATCGAGTCTTGTGAAACCCAGGAATTTCTCTCTTACTTTTATGTCTATTATAAAGAAGTCCATAATATGAATGTTTCATATCATAGTTGAGTGGTCGGCACTCCGCTTTGTATTCAGGAGACCCCATGTTCGGGTCTCAGCCCAGAAACCAGCTATTCTGACTATGTTTGTTTTTCCTCCCTTTATTGTGCTTTTCCCCTGTCCCTCCAGGTAAATGCTAGTGTAGTACTCTTTATTAGGCATGACTGCCTCCTTCCACATTCCTTCCAATTCATGCTCACCGATTATTTGATGCTTTACAATCTGAGATACTAACAGCATCATAAAATGAACTGGAAATGATAAAAGAATGGTGGTGCAATAATGATTTCTGCCTTCCAGCTGTCAAATTAACATTAATATTAGACAAGTAATGGGGTGGATTTTTCAGCCTAGCTTACAAAACTTGTGACATACATAAAGGCGGCAGTTGTGCAGTCCAAACCATACATTTTCTATCACAATTTTGAAAATTAATGAAATCTCAGTTATAATAAAGAATTTAGTATGTGTTAGCTTAATAAAAAATTGTCAGCCTTTCTTAATCATAATGTGTGTATATTGAATGTATCTCCAGCAAGCAGAGAAAGGATTTGATTGGTATATAGAAAACAGGTTATGTAGTATGTAGTTATTGTAAAGGATAAAATAGCAGTAGAGATTTTCTTAATTTTGGCCAGTTAATTTCAACCTCAAAATCTAATTTAATATTTTGACTTTTCAGGAGCATACTGGACGAGTTTTTCGCCTACAGTTTGATGAATTCCAGATTGTTAGCAGTTCACATGATGACACAATTCTCATTTGGGACTTCCTGAACTGTACACCCCCAGAGGGCACACCACAGCAGCAGCAGAACATGCAGCAACTCAACACTCGCTCCCCAACACGCACGTACACTTACATCTCAAAGTAATTACGGACAGTGATGGCTCTTCCAAACCCCCCACAACCAGGGTTACATTTCATTTTATCTGCAAAATTTTGTTCTTTTGGCACAAATTGATGTCTGGTTTTTGAACCTAGGATTATCCTGGAGTTACACATCACATTATGAGTCTTTGTAACTTCAGGATTACTGCTTTTGAAATTCAAGAAAATTGTTCTCCTGTGTTGAAGGTTATAATTTTGGTCTTCCTTACATACAATGTGCAATGTGCATTGTGGATCTTTTTCTAAGAATAAATGGCAGAGGTATGTAGCCTACTCTTAAGCCTTATAATTCAGTTCTTATATGTGTATTAATGTTTGTATCTGTCTGGATATTTGGGTACATTCTAAATTCGGTTATAAAGCCATCCAAAAAAATGTAGTCTATACCTTAGATGGTATATTTAAATGACACTGTTATGAACTAATTACTGGTTCTCAAAAATTATTTTTGGGGTTCTCATACAAGGATGAATATTTCGGTTCATGTTTTAATTGTCCCTTAACTTTATATGACGTTGGTTGAGTGACATAGTAGACCTTTTCTGTTTTGAAATAGCATTAGTATGAATATTATAACTGCATTATTTATTTCCACAGTCAACAAAGATATGAAAATAAGGAAGAATAATTTAGTGTTTTTTTATATCTTTACCACACTTGAACACTTTTCCAGATTAAAGAACATTTTCAGCTTCCATTCACTAGCTGCACAATGCAATATACAAAGAAACAAACTACTGGACTTAGTCCTAAGTTCAGATGATGATGTGTGATGGACAATTCTCTGTAGTCAAAATATGGAGGCTACTCAGCCTCTGTAAACTGTCAAGTCATGCCAAATGTGGCCTGAAAAACAATGCCCTTTGCTTGGCCCATGTATCATTTTGGAGAGTTGGTAAATGTTTTTTGGTTGTGTGTTAGGAGGACTCAGTGCATGTGTTCTAAGCACATAAGCTTCAAAGGCCAGTGTACTGTGTTTCAGACATGCATTATTACTCAGAGTCTGGAATACAAACTTTGTTCTCCTGGACAAGGGAACAGCCCAGAGGGTGGATTGAAGGTAACTTTAGGGGTGCCTTTCTATAGCTTGGGAAGCAAAGCTAAGTTAGGAATCCCCCATAAGAATGAAAGTTCCAGAAGACAAGCACTTGTTTTATGCAAGATCTTTTCATATACATTGAAACCTCAATGTACTGTTTTCATCGGGAGGCCTGAGAAGAGATGATAGTTGCGGAGCCCTGTACAAAAAGAATAAAAGCGGTCACATTTGCCTATATATGTATGTATTAAATAAAAAATCATAGACAAGTGATATTATTTCCACTGTTAAGTCCACTTTATATTACTTCTTTTTAAAATGTCATTAATCCTCATTTGTTTAGCAGCACCTTTCCCTCTCAAATTGAAACCTTTTAGTATTAACGACGTTCACCTGGTCTCTCTTGGTGATGTTGTGAACAGGCTCTTGCCAGCCCACTTCCCCTCTAGCTCATTGTCTGATAGGTAAGATGCGCTCAAGGTCCTCAAGGTTGCATAGTGCACAGCTAACGGTACAGAGCCAAAACGGCAACTTGCTACACCATGTTTCAAAAACATCAGATGCTGGTATTATTACTGATGCATACTAGCATTTGTGTGTATAGTGTTGCTCTTTCTTACAAATGGTCAGTCCAGGATTAACGTTCTTCAGGATTAAAATTTCTAACCAATAGATGCAGGAAAATGATAAATCAAAGAATGATTGATGCAGGTTTTATTTCCATAGTTAAAATAGGATTTGTTCAGGAACCAGAGAAATTGAACAGTGGATCTGGGAATGATAGGTCAAGGTTTCACTGTATGTGCTCTTAAAAATTTGATGGCAGTGTCAATATTTTTTGTCAGTGTAATTGTTCTCATTATATGCCATGCCCTTTTTATTGTGGTTGTGGTGCATACAAAGTGCACACTGTGCTTTATGAGAGACTTCTGGAGAATTTCTTTGAAGTAGCATATGAAACCAAGAAATCTGTGGCCCTCTGTTTAGAAATTATGATGGAGAAATCAGTGCAGAGATGAGATGAGAAGATCCTAAGAAAAATAGAAAAATTTGAGGTGATGTGGGTTGAAGTATAGTGGTCCGCATAACCTTTAGATAGTTGTAGCAGTAACGAGTCTTTGCTCCTTTACAAGTGTAGAGCTAACACTGTCTTTGGTGTGTGCATACAGAATTTGACAGGACTTTGTGAACATCAGTTTAAAGAAAAAATAAACCCTGGTTGTGACACTTTTCGTTTTGTCATGTGTTTATTTGCTAGGTGTGAAATGCATGTTCTTGTTGTATTGTGGATCAATGAAGCTATTCCTTTTCTCGATATCTTTATGTATCCTACCAAAGCTCTCTTGCATTCTCATCTTTTGCATCACCTGTAAATTTGAAATGCATATGGTATAATGTTCATATATTTATACCATATTTGTACTTACTCATGAATAGCACTAGTTTGCATGAATGAAAATCCTACAAATATCTCACATGTTCAGTATTCATTGATCATCCTACCATTTAATTGTGTGAGCTAATGAGAGCATTATTAAATAAAACACAAATAAGTAAATATGTCATAGCTGCCAGGGCTATCTTGAGATTGCAGTATCTTTTGATGTGTGAAAAAAATTCTCAAGAAATGTGTATCGTAGCATCTTCTGTGATCAAGTCACAGTGAGTAATATTTTCATACAACAGGGTGTATCCTTTGAATGTCAGACACTGTTTCAGAACATTGTCCTTTCAGTTTCATTTTCTATGTGGAAAACAAAGAGAAGTCACAGGGGCGCCTAGGTCCCACGAGTAGGGAGTGTGGGGAACTATAACCATGTTGTTAGTCACAAACTCTGTAGTTTTCAGGGACGTGGGTGGGCGCAATGTCGTGATGAAGGAACAGTGTGGCACATGTTCAGATTTTCTGTTAAGATCTCCTGGCAAACTCCATAACTGATTGAGTAATGTCTGTGAGCACATGGATTGTTTGATGACAGTTCTCGAATTTTTTCAACATTTTCTGTAGTTTTGCTGATGTTTGGTTGCCATGAATGCTCATCATCTTCGGCTGACACCCAACAGGCCTTGAAATGTGAGTGTCATTCAAAAAAACACTCTCTGGCTGAAAGAGTATTCTCCAAACACCTCATGAAGCATTTCAGGGTTTTTTTAGCAGATTTACCGAGCTTCATACAAAACTTGATGCAGACACATTGCTTGATTTTTTTGCCATCCATCGCAGATGAAACGAAACACAAAGCCGGGAAAGCACTCATGTAAAGACAATGTGAGTTCACAGCATGGTGTCACTTGGCAGACTGATGCAATAGGCTCTTGGAAGTGTGACCTTGGCCTCCCCTCTCATCTTTCTCTTAGGCATTTACAGCAGTAACAGCCCAGGAACTTTCTGATACCACCTCATATTACTAATATGCATATATTCTGATATACAATTAAGCATATTCAGGTTGCATATTCTGTAGTCACAATACACTCTTGATTAGTCATGCTCAGATAATCTAGTTTGTGGCTCAGCTGTGTGCCCCACCCCACCCCTTTTGTGTTAGTGATCCTGTGGCATGCCTCATGGGTTTGCACAGTCCATCGATAGCTGTCTGTATCCATCAAACAACTGGAGAACTGGTGGTTGAATTTTCAAGAAATTTTGTACTGGAGAATTTGACAAAGAATTGTGGTGTCGCTTACATTTTTTTAGATCAGATAATATTAGCTACCACTTTGCATTAAGACCTTAATACATTTCTGTACATATATCAAATTTAACTTGCTAAACATTTATCAGAGTAAAGAATATTCAACACACCTTTTCCATAAACTTCACAATTTTAGAGATAATTTAACAGATTGGCCACTGCATACATTTCTAAATTTCTGTGGATGACTTGTCTGTCTATCAATCAGTAAGTCATATAGTCAAGAGTGTATTATAATCTTTAGTTTAAATACAGAACTGTTCTTACCAGGCTCCCTTGTGAGCTGTCATTTCAAAATAGCTGCATCTAGCCTCCAAGTAAAAAATAACTTCATACTACTTATACAGAGGCCTCTGAAATGTTAATAAAGTCTGAAACAAACAGAAGACAAAAAATATGTCTCGATGATCAATGCAACATTACACAGTATGGAATGATGTAGCTCTATATGTCCGATGTTTCGGTGAATTGAAAATTAAAATTGTTGACCAGAAGTGATTAATAAGTTGTTAATGGTAAAGCTGTCCCTGTACTTAATTAAGTACCATGCCATAAAGGTATACGAGGTAGTGGAGGTGTAGCTCCACGATTCTTAACCTTTAAGTGCCTAGTGACACCGTATGGAGATCTTTAAAGTGTAGCCTAGTGGCTGTGCGGCACCGTATGGGTACGCGCAGTCCACGCATGCGCACAGTGTTTTAAAATCTAATTTTAAGATAGAAATTCTTGTTCTACTTACATTGTTTTTGGGCACCCGCTTTTTTAAGTAGACAGTCTTCCCTCCTGCATCATCTAACTGAATGCAGAGTCCGACGTCGCAATTCATGCACTTTATCTGGATATAACTCTGTTTCCCATGCGAAGAGCACACACGGCACCTCACTCTCGTATTAGAAGAAGTCAGCCAGTGGTGTCGAGTGGCCTCCTCTAATCGTAACGCTTATAAAACATCGCAATTTCAACTATCCACCATGGCCTCATTTCGCATGGAAGAAGGCGAAATTGATAGGCCCCTGATAAATGACACCAATTCAGAATGCGGTACAGATGACTCTGAAAGTGGCATGGAAGCAATGGGGCTATTCCGAGAACAGTACCTCTGTGTGGCTAGTCCGAGATATACACAGTCAGAGTTTCTGAAGGACAAAGTACGATAAGACTTCGCCCACACTCATGCATACAGAAATGTTCGGGCGTTGCTGGAGAATGTGCAATCCAAACATAAATTTCCTCCCCTTTTACCAGATAAGACATAGAAAGACAGGATGTCAGCGGCATGCATTTATACTGCAGAAACATTTTGTGCAGAAATTGTATGCATATTTGTGGACAGACGCTTGAAATTGGGAAAAAATGTTTTTTGGAATCATTGTAACAATTTTTACAGATTTTAAAATCTGTAAATTACAATATCTGATTCTATATTCTTTCTAGATAAAAGCAGCATTTATTTCGTTCATTTATCACAAAAATTATAGAAATCACAGCGTTTTCAGTAACATGCTTATAATTTTTAATACTCTACAATGGCGGACATTTAAATTAACTTCGGCCTGCTGCCATTACGGGAATTTAAATGGCCCATCTCTTAAAGGTTAAAATTGCCATTAGATGGAAGTTAGTGGTCAGCTTCATGCTCTGGCCACTTTACATCTAAGGAAAGAGCCCCCATGTAGCCTTTGTATAGGAAGCTGGATGGGCCCCAGAGCCAGCCTGGATACTCTGGATTGGAGAGAAATCTGTTGCACCTACCAGGATTTGAACCTGGCCTTCAATCCCTTAGCCTGCCACTGTAACAACTGAGCTAAACCAGCTTCTGTTAATAAAATGGATGTGGCAAAATAAATTAAGGTATGTGGTTAAACCCATCTTGAATGTCAGAAATATCATAAACATAAATACATCAACAAATATAGATATGGGCTTGTAATTTTGTTATAATGTCTCAAATTTGGGCAAAGTCAGAGTGGGTAGTGTTTATTTTATGACACACTATTTTAATTTAAACAAAATCCGGTGGGGAGATATGCTTACAGCATAGTTATTGGGTAGACAGCCCCCCTCCCCTTCATACCTGAAAAAGAATGTGAATGAATGTGTGGACATATGTTATGGATTGTCTTCACATGCTCATTTGTGTGCTAGAAGATGTATCTCAGAAATCAAAATGAAATACTTTCAGACAGCTCACAAACTAACGTGTTATTATAGAAACATTTATTCGAGAGGAGATGCATATTTGTTTACTGTATAGGCTTGAATATAAAAGATTTTGTGATTGATCCTCTTTATACTTGGAAAGAATTGAGTATATTTATTCATATCTTTTACTTAATGATTTTGATATACCCTCAAGGGAGAAATGTGAAGTATTAGGATGTTACTGATAAATGAAATGTTATGGAAACCATTGTAAAGTCTAAGGACCATTGTAAGGTCTAAACACAGGAGAGAATATTCCATACATGCAATTCTAACTGACTTTCCTCCTTGAAAGGTAGGCTCATTTGATCACCATTATGTCTAGTCATTCCCTCCTTTTAAACTTTTGAACCTGCTGACTGATTTCACAAAACTTGTGTGACTATGGGAAGCCATCCTACTGCCATACTTCCTAATTTTCTACAATCATTAATGACAAACTAGCTGATCCACAAATGTGTGAGGTGAGAGAAACGCTGGCCTCACTTACTTTAGGGTCCTGAAATGATGTATGCTAATAGATATTGGAAAAAATATGGTTTTATTAAGGTAATTTTTTTGCAGAGAGTGAAATATCAACATAACAGACTTGGGACAATTGTCTTTTGCTTTCTGTTCAATGGTAATAATTAATTAAACATTGGAGCTAGGAATGTAGGTAAAATTTGATATTGAGATGGATCATAAACAAGTTGTTGTTATTTACAAACAAGGCAACAGTTACAGAATAAGTTCTTCACAAAAATATAATGAAATGACAGTAATAATAGAATAATTGATCAGTTTAACTAGAAATCTGTGTGTCAAGAAAGTAGCTCTGATAGTTGTGCTCAGAATTCCTCCTTGTGTTATATTCTTCCTCCTCCTCTTGCAGCAGATATTTGAGTCTTGAATCTACAGTAACATGTACTGATGCAGAAACTCTCTTAATTTTACTTTATTTTGAGAAGAGACAGCAGACTCAAATTTTCAGTTTTCATTTGTGTACTCTATGAGTTATTTCATGAGTAAGTACACCTCCTGCATGAGTTTAATATATAAAATTCTCTTCAAGTTTATGCTTTCATTTTATCATTCTCATTTTCCGAACTTCTAAATATAGTAACAGCATGTTTGGATAGTTTTGTAGTGTATTGCTTCCTTTGTGGTGTGCTTTTTCTTTCATTTTGAAATCTTTTTCTTCTTTACTACATGGTATGAAGAACTTTTGAAGATAATTTTCAATTAGAACTTATTGTATAAGATTGGGAAGTCCATCACTGAGACCTGAGCTTACATTAATAATTTATGTGTTGTTACAAACAGTAAGAGTTTTTTGGTGCACTTTTTTTTCTTGATCCCAGACTTTGTTGTCAGTCGCATCAGAACTTCCCATAAGATACCGTTTGCAAGGATATGCTGACAAACATATCGATTATTCTTTCAGATGGAATGCACAGTATTAATTTGACAGATATTTATTCACTTGCTACAGTGATATTTTGATTGACTGTATTTGAGTGTACAGAGTTTTAGTACAGTCTGCTTCTGAATGCAGATTATGGTGGAATTGTCCACTGTGACAATTGCTGCTGCTTGCAGTCCTTTTGTCTGGGTATTAATAGAATATACGGAGTATGTAATTTATTGTTAGACTGATTCCCACAGCTCATCTTGCATAGGCCCATTGTGGTAGCTGATAACTTTTGGTCTGCTTTCTCTGTTTTTTAACTTACCTTATTTTATAGAAGAGTCTCAAAGTGACAACACTCTGCTTCTTAGCATGCTTCATGAGAATATTTTTCTGGGCACATGCTAAAATTGCTGTGCAGGAACAATGGAGATATTATGCTTATAATTTTCTTGAAGTTCTCCCAAGAATGTAGATTGTTCACATACGCGTGCTTGTCAAATGAAAGACACAAGTATTTAATTTGGGTTATCGCAGAGGCCACAACCCTTGAACAATGACTCGTTTGCCAAAGACTTAATTTAATGCACCCATACAATTGTTAGCAGTGTGTGCTCTGTTGCAATGTCTTGCATACTATGCATGAACAATTTTTCTTCATCATTCAGTTGATCGAAGAAGGGTGAAAGAATCAGTCACATAATGTTTAAATTTTTGTTTAATGAAAAATATTTGGGCTAATTATCTTCTTTGCATTAATTGCACACCAAACCCCAACTTTTAAATCAAGCAGTGGCACTTCATTAATAGCATGAGAATTTTCTTTCTTCCATTATCTGTTATTCTGATTGTTTACATGACTGCATAAAGTGAGCCATGCCTCATCAGAATAAAATGTAACATCTGGTTCAAGAAGTTCATTGAACACAGATTCCTAAACACCGACAATCAAAAGAAAGTATAGAAATAGTCAAATTTAAATATGCCATTTAATTGAAAGAATGGAAAAGCACTAGGAAAACTGACATGAACATGTTTTAAGGATAAAGACTGATAGATTCCCCAAAAATGTTAGTGAAGTATAAATATAGTGGATACCAAAATATTTGATGACATGATGATGAATTCTCTTTAAGTTGGAACAGGCTAATAGGCTCGAGCTTGATGTAAAAGGAGCAGTAGTACTGTAATTTCTCCTGGACAATTTAGTGAATCAAGTATAATGGCTTTAAAGAAAAACTTAATGACATGTTTCACTCACTCCACTTTCTTTTCTGTTGGTTTAATATTTCAGAATTAGCCCTTTTTTGTTCTAAAATACAGATTGGCATATTTAGGGTGCTCAGCTTCTTCAAAATGACATGTCCACAGCTTGTCAAATTCTTCTATATTTTATTCCCTGAATTATGAAATAATATAGAGAAAAGAATCATATCCTTCCTTATACACCCCCAGAGTCATTTCTGTTCTGCACATACTAATTTTAAATTATGTGTTGAAAATTAAAAGAACCCAATTAAAAGGTTCCTTCTAAAATGGAATCTTTTACATGTTTATAATGTTAATGATAATTTTATTTTCTGAGAAATCACTCCTATTTAAAGTGTTTAATAACTTATTCCTTAAAAAGAATCTTAAAAGGGTTCTGTTATGTTAATGACTTTTTGTTGATACCTGTACTTATTGCTGATACTCATTTTGGTTCTGTTTTCTGCTTACAGCTTTTGAGTGATGTACGTTCCATGTTATTGCTGCTTTGTGATAATCTGGTAAGCTTTTAATTAAAAATAAGTCATTATATTTATTACATGCAATTTTTAATGTGCACATTCCAAAGATATTTGGTGACTTCTGACTTCTACAAAACTTACTAATTTAAATGTGTGAAATATGAGAGTTGAAACTTGTTTGCATGTTTGGTTTCTTTAAGAAAGTTCTAAGTATCATAAATTCAAGTTGGATGAAGACATCATGGCCACAGTAATACAGTGGTTTCAACAGCAGGCCAGTTTGTTGATTACTGTGGAATAGCTCTTCTTCTCTGCTCAAAATAATTTCTGAATTAGTTTCATTTGAACAACCCTTATAGTTACATAATGCTACCCTGAGACTCCTGTAATATGCGTTGCATGTGAGTGAATAGCTATACATTTATCGTCAGGAAGTGTGTGATTTATGACTTCATAGTTATGACTTATATTGATGAGTCGACATGGCTTCCTTTCCATTGAGTCCAAAGGATGAAGAAATGCAAGCTTTCAAGCTGAAAGCCACTTCACTCTGTTCCCATTCTTAACTTGAATGTGAATTTCTAATATGTAGTGTGTACTATTTCTGTATCAGCTGAATTATTCAGACATACAAAGCCTGAATTCTCTTCATTTTTGATAATTCATTTTCCTGAACTCAGTAAGTTGTGAAGAGACATAAGGACTAATAACACAGTTGGGAGAGAATGTGGTGTGTCCCTGATAAATTCTGATCTTATTTGCTAGAAGTACTTGTAATTTATAAGGAGCAACACATCTTCAGGAAAGGAAACGTAACTATTTTGTTGCATCACAGTACCAAGTATGTAACATAATGTGTAATTACTTATAATCATGGTTCTCATTTGAATGTATTTATACCTGTAAAATTGAATTCTGCTCTTTAATCTGGGATTCTGTCTTCCATATCTCTTCTTGTTCAATCTAGAAGTTCCCAAGATTTTTTTTAATTGCACCGATTAGTTCAGAGTATAACATGAGAGAATCTGATAAGGTGCAGTAATGGGTGAACAGCTTTAGGGACTAGAATCCTGCAAGTTGGTGGAGGTAAGAGATGAAGAGCTTTGTGTTTTGGGATATAATGCTTGTCCATTGAAAATCAACGTACACTTCAAAGGAACTTGTCACCTCTGTCTTCAGGGTTGATGAATCAGCCAAGCTAGACACCATCATGAAGCAGGTTGAAAGCAGAGCTTCATGCAAGACTCTCCATCTGTCTGTCAGCTTCCTTCTATGTGACATATTTCTTAAACTTTTTGTTTCCACCTTGATCTCAATCTTTCCCTTGGTCATTTTCCTTTTATTTTCATGTTCAAAACCTTCTTTGGTGTCCTCTGTTTGCTGTTGCCCATACCATTTAATTTTGTTATTTTTTTCTCATTTATGTACTTCTAAATTTTTTTTTATTTTCCAGATTTTTCCTTCTTTCTTAAAAATCTTGCCTTACCTGTTTTGGCCTATTACTTTCTACTTTTGGCCATACTGAAGTGAATATTTTCCACACAGAACATTTTTTCTCCTGCTTGTTGTTACCCAGTTAACTAGGCTGCGTTTTCAAATGATGAGAACCAAGTATTGTGAAATTTGTTCATAAATTTTGTAGAATGAGGTAGATGAGACATGTATGATGTATGGGAGGAGAATTGATACAAAATTTTGTCTGAAATCCTTCTGCCCTTTGAATGTACTTGAAAACCACCATTGTCATTGAAATGGTTCTGTCTGAATATTGTGTACAGACTGTTGAATGTATTCAGTGATATAATATAATATGTTCTTCTGTGGTAGGTAAGTTGCTGTAGACTGAATCGGGAACCTGTGGATCGAGACAAGATGTGCAGCTACAGGAAGCTTTGTGGATTACATTTATTATATAGGACTCTAGGAACTTTATGTTATGAAGTCTGAAAGAACATGTTTGACCAATAATTCAGATGCTTCTAAAATTAATTGAGCAGCAAAACAAAGTGTATATATGACACTCTACATATTTTATTTACTTGCTGTAGCCGCTTGACATATCATTTTAGCAACGTTATTTGTCACGTGTTTTGAAATAACCATGTGTTAGAAAAGTCCAACAAGAAATGCGATTGGAAACAGGTTTTACAGTTTTACTGTAAGAAGTTTAAATGTTGATGCTACTGTAGTCATACAAGTGATCTGCTGAGGTGCTGGGTTTCCATTTTCAGTTATTTTGTGGATTAATTATGTGTAAGGAGTGCGTATTAATGAAGAGACTTGTTTCTTATCAACACATGGACTCAGAGAAGAATATGAATGGCTATAAATGGACTATTCCCTATGTATATAGTAAGGATGGTGGTGTTCAGAGATTGAAGGTGTCATGGTGGTGTATATTTTCTGGAGAGAAATGTCATTGGTTGAGAATTTTTCTTTCTTCATTATACTAAAATAATTACTGCTATGCAGTGGTAAATTGAATGCAACACCAGTAATAAACAGTAATACATTTCATTATGTTGCACTGGAGTTTGCCTGTTACTAAAAATATTAGGCCAGACAGTTTGGAGGGGCTGGGGCGGGGGGCTGTCACCAAGTCAAGCATCTTATACAACAGCTGAGATAATTTTGGCCTATGAACATATAGTGCTGCAATGTGTTTGGTATATCACAGCAGTTTTTCATTGCTAATATATGCATATGTGAAAATTTGTATGTATTTGACTTCAAGATAAAACAAGGCCTATGTTCAGTTTATCATACAATTCATGTTTTGTATTCTTAGGTACTGTGTACTCATTTTGTATGGTGCACCATTAATTTATTGCCAAAATTGTATGATCCAATTCTAAAATGTGTGTGTGTGTGTTAACTTTTTTTCTTCTTTCCACTCTTTTTTTTCTCTTGCTTGTGCATTGTGGAGGACTAGCTGTGGTGACTACATTGCATTACAAAAATATATTGGGCGCTTTATTTTTTTTTAATTGCCATCGTAAAAATGTGTTGCATTAAAATATTAGGAACCATATGCATATGTATGCTTGTGTGTGTAATTGCGAATGTGAGTCTCAGTGATTTGCATGTTATAGTAAACATAAATTTTGTGTATATTTGAGAGAAAATGTGTGACCGATTTTACATTTGGTAGTACATGCATAAGATATTCATCCTTGTTTTTAATAATGAATTGTGCGCACATTTATTCTACCAGTTGTAGTCCTAAATAACTTTGAATTCTATTTTGGAAATGTGAGCTAGTTCCTGTCTGAGAAAAGAATCTCAGAAGAATAGTAGCACAACATATGTAACATATTTAAATGTGCTTGTTCCCATTTACCTATCTGAAATATGGTAATATTGTTTGTGTATTTGTGTTAATGTGGGTGCCTGAAATTGTATTGTGGCCTTTTTTTTTTTTCTTGGAGTGTGTGAATGAGTCCTCAATTCCACTGTTTTTATGAGTTTTCTATAACTTGCAACTTGATCTCATGGTAAATATCTTACTGATTAATATTTCTTTCATGGCAAGGATTATGAAATGTATGAAAATGTCCCATTTGCTGTTGTAAGTTATGTAAGTACTACTATCTTGTCAAGTTATGTTGGTCACATAGTCTTTCTGTTGATATTTTCACTATATAATTTTTCTTTCTGAAATTTGGTTTAATTCTTAAATGATCATATGTACATTTTGATGAGAGCACCATTGAATTTGATTTGTCAGAAGTTGTATAATTTTTACTAGTATTAAAGTCCCTTATCTTTTATCTTGAAGTGTACATGACTATAAATGACAGTTGTAAACAATTTTATTCTTGCTTCTTCTGAAACCTCTCAAATTCCAAAATTTCAACCTCATACAATGTAAATTCTATGGAAGTAATTTTTGTTGATTGGATAAAACTGTAGACATTTGCTTATTTAATTTTTACTTATGTGTATGATGAATATAGATGACAATAAATGTTCTGAGGGATATCTGTGAATTCATTAAGACTTGATTCATTATTTCTTTACCCACAATTAATTTACCAAGTTTCTGAAATCAACCATGTTGCAGGAACTACAGCAGGTAAAATATACCTTGAAGCAAACACAGTCTTTATAATTCATTTTATGCAAGGGATCGGGTTATGTCATCCTTTACCGCACAGCTGAAATAAAAATGCTTGCTTGTTTTGGCGGGGGTTGCAGTTTTGGTTTTCATTACAGCCGCAGCAATGTTTTCAGATGGCAGCACCATCGCCTGAAATGTTTTGCCAGTGAAAATGGCGGATGAGCAGGTAAGAAGCGAAACAAAGAGTATTAAGTGCTAAAATTTGTGCTAATTCTTTGTAATTGGTAATACAGACTGATTAAATATACATGTATCCATGGTCACAGAAGTATGCAATGTTGTTCGTATCTTTACGTAAATATTTTATATCAAAACATGCAAGTGCGACGCTAAGGCATCAAACACTCATTCTCCACCGGAACAAATTGGCCCTAGTCAAATACACGCATCAAAATATTGTATTTTATTACGTTTTTTCATTGATGACAGATCGTGTGTGTATATTGCCGGTTTAGTTTATAGACTTGAAATTCTGTTTTGTACTGTTTAATCGAAATTCCTAAACGTGAAAGTGTTATTACACGAGAAAATGTTCGAAGCCCAAGCCAGGCAGCCTAATGGCGTAAGTGTGGATTTTTCTCGATTTTTTGTATGAGTGTATAAATGAAGATAGAATATGAAGTGACGGACATTTTAAAGTTTAATTTTTACTATAGCCCAGTATTTTACTTTCTAAATTCCAAAATTGAATGGTAATCACATGTTCTGTTTCTTATGCGTAAAAGAAGATAAACGGAAACGTCTTTTTCGAGGAAGTTTTCGCATTCGTAAAATAAAATGAACACTACTGTCATTACAATATAAAAACCTTACAAACTTCTTTTTGTAGGAGGTGCGGCAGTTAGAGTTACTTTGTAAACAACTCTATGAGTCTCAAGATGCCAGTCAGAGGGCAGAAGCAGAAAAAGCTCTTGTTGGTTTCCAAAATGCCCCAGATACTCTATCAAAATGTCAGCTTCTTCTGGATCGAGGAGACTCCTGTTATGCTCAGCTTCTAGCTGCCACAACATTGACCAAACTTGTGTCTCGCAGTGCCCAAGGTCTCAGTTTGCAGCAAAGAGTTGACATTCGTAAGTTTGCATTTAAGAATTCTTCTGGGTTAGTTCATGCACCACACTTTGTTACACTGAGAATCTTTATGGATATTAATGATGCAGGTATTTTTATTGCATAAAAGGATGCAGAACATACTTTTTAATACTTTACAGTTTTAAATTATTGAAGTTACACATGAATCTAGTTCATATTAATTGGAACAACTGCAGAATATTGTAGAGATTGCTGTACCGAGATAGACCATCTTTCTCGTTTGGCATTCTTTCTCATATTTTTTCCCCATTCTTTGCCTGCCATTGAATAACGTATTTGTTGATCTCCCACAAACAAATGGTGGTTTGTAGAAATGAATGAATGTATGAGGGGTGGGCCATGATAATCCAGCCCTTGCAATCTGACCTTCAATGATCTATTGTGTTTCCACTTTTGATTAACCTTTTATTAATCCTACACTTCAAATGAAATGTAGGACTTTGTTTATGGGAGCATCATAGTAGTCACTTGGTTCCATAATGAACTGGCCCAGGTGACGAAATCGTAAATAATGAATGTATAAAGCGTGGACCTTCTTGGCCCTTGCACCACGACCACAGTGACCTTATGCCTTAAATAAACTATGGCCTCACAATCACATAGGATATGTGTGGCTGAAAGCTTAGTAGAAAGGATGTAGGTACAGTTGTACATGCAACAGTGAAGATTCCATTCAAGGTGTAAAAGTTTTTGACAGTGGTAAATTGGTACAAATATTATGTTTTTGACATTATCCACTTTGTCCGAATATAGGGACTAGCACTATCTGGTGGTCCCAACTGACTAGGTTTTACCTGAAGACAGAGACAGAATTCAGTCTCCGAAATGTTGTGTTTTGAAAAATAAACAAGATGGTTTTTAGATAAAGACAAGATGATGGACAGTGTCCCAAAACATAATATTTGAGCTAGATCAGAATCTACTGCTGTGGGGCCCACCCAGCCTCCTATCGAATTAGCACCATGGTATGCTTCCTTGGAGGTGGGGAGCAGCTGACCACTCATCTCTCTCTAGTGCCAAGGTCAGGGGTGCTGGAGCTATACATCCCCTCCCTCATATGTATTCATGGCGTGCTGCTTAGATAATTAGGTACAGGGACATGTACAAAAAAGGGGGAAAAGGCTGTTATAAGTAACTACAGGCCAATATCTATGGTAACTGGGTTTGCAAAGTTTTTTAAACAGCAATTTTTAGAAGACTCAGTGATCATGTCGTAAAACATAAAACATTACTTTCAGAGCAGTATGGATTCCAAAAGGGATTATCAACCAAAGATGCAAGGTTTAAATTAACTAGTGTAATACAGCTTGAAATAGAAAAGAGTATGTAACTGGTATATTTTGTGACATAGCCAACACCTTTGACTGCATTAATCATGATCTTCTGTTAATGAAACTGCAGTACTATGGAGTGCAAGGTGTATTATTGCAATGCTTTAAATCTTACCTTCAATATAGGAGGCAAAGATTGGATTTGAATTATATAAATAATAAATATTATTCTAACTGGGAAATTGTTGGTTGTGGTGTGCCTCAGGGATCGGTGATGGGACCCCTACTCTTTAATATATACATAAATGATTCCCCCCTTGAAATAAGAAAAAATTATGGAAGTTATTATGTTTGCAGATGACACAAGTATTCTTTGCACAACTAAAGACTACTATAATTTAAAAATAAAATTGGATGTTGTTTTTAATCGCATGTTCACATGGTTTCAAAATAATCAATGATGAAATTCACCCCAACAGCAGCTACGAGCTACCCTCTATATACATTGTTTTTTAACACATTGTGGACTGGTGATTTAAATCACCCTGGTGACCGGCATTTTTATACCTACTACCCTAACTTGTACACTGTTCACTTTAAAAATTAATATAAAATCTCCTAATTAATTTTATGAACTAAAATTTTTGGAGAACACTTACCAATGCTCCTAGAAAAAGTGCTTGAGAGTGTGATATTTCTGGAAACATTCCCCTTTATGAAGTGGCATTACACACTTGCAAATGTAGACAGTCATAGTCCTTTTTTTGTGAACTGCGCAAACACAGCATTGCCTAGAAGGATGCTTCCCCTTGGAATGGTCTGTATGCATGAATTATACATTGTTGAGACTTGCTTGTTGTAAGTGTAGTATGTATGATGTCTGTTTTTGTTATGAATTTTAATATTTTGTAATGTAACTGTTTGGATGATACGGCTTGCCAGTGTGTGTGGAATGGCAAGGTGTGAATTTGACAGTGGTTTTTCCACGACCCATGAATGTTGTTCTGACAACTTGAGCTATCTGTGTGAGGCTTGATTATATATTTTATTGGACCAAGGATGAATGATGTGTAGTCATCATGTATTTGTAATATGTGACATGTTTTGTATCCAGCCTTACGGGAAGATGATTGGATCCATGAAGTGAAAAGTAAATGTAAATGTACCTTTATTTTAACCCAGCTGTCCTAGCTTGCTCTTTTTCACAAGGGATGGAAGCAGTGTGTTTCTCCAAATTGCTGGTGAACGTCTGCCACATTACACAACAGTCATGTCCTAGAGGACAGTAATCTCCAATTTTAAATTAATTTTTCTCTTGAAATCAGTTTTGATAATCTTTCAGCATTGTAAAAGAAACCACAGAGCCATTCTTTGCCATATTCTGCATGCACTCAATACACTGAGGCTGCATTTTTGAATGTTAAGAAAGTGGATTATGCTTTAAATTAGATTGCTTGTATTATAATCAGTATTTTCATTTTTCAGGCAATTATGTTTTGAATTACCTTGCAACTCGACCAAAACTTCCAAATTTTGTTATTCAAGCCTTGGTGACTCTTTTTGCTCGGATTAGCAAACTTGGGTGGTTTGACAGTGATAAGGACGAGTTTGTCTTCAGAAATGTTGTCACTGATATTACAAAATTCTTGCAGGTAAGTCTCACATGACTTGAGAAGAAAGTAGTTGGTAGGCATCAAAACACCTGCCATGTTCTTAAATATAAACAGAAGAATGAAGCTGTCAGATTAAGATTGCATTAACCCAGCTTTTTCATGTTTGTGTGTATATTTATTTTGTTAATGGTAGAAGTGGTTATCATGTGCAAATGGCTACCATACCCAGTTCTGCTTGCTCTGATGTTTTACTAGTTGCTCAAATTGAGAAATAAGTGAAGAAAATAAAAAAATTAGCATACAGAACCCCAAAACATAATGGTTCAAGAATTTCATACTCAATATCACAAGTTCTTTATAAAGAGGCTCTTAAGAAATAGTTCAAACATGAAATTTATATTTTTTGTAACATTTAGATGTGATTTTGAGCAGTTAGTTTATAGTGTTTTGAAAATTGCCAACCTGGCACAGTAGTTCTTTTTTGTAATGTCCATCTTAATAGGCCTATACTGGAAGGAGGAGGAGGAGGATGACGACGTCAGTAAGGATGACTGAGCTTGCTGTTTTTCTATAACATTGCCATTAGGTTGCCGTGCATTACCATTGTGATGTTACTTTTTTAAGGGGTTTTCTGTTTTGCATGAATGTTGTGGGAATTTAATTTTAATTAGTAATGAAAAGTCATCTGCTTAAAAATCGTGAATTCTTGAATGAACTTGAATGTTGGCAGTCCATTGAGGATCTGTAAACTTACATCAGACCTTTCAGGAATTGCTCAATTTGAACAGGAGGGGAATGAAATTGACAGAATCACAACTGAACCCGAAACCGTGAGACTTCCTAATCATACTGTCCCACACCAGCAACTACCTATGAAAGTAATTCCTATAAGCATTTGGAGGCGTACAAATGCTATAGTAAGATGAGATTCCAATTACTTATTTTTTCCTTATATGGCAACAGTATAATAAATTTGAAGTTATGGTGTGATCTGTTTACAGTGAGTAAAGTGATTACTGATCCGGTTTATCTTGAAGATAATTTGATTAGTTCAAGTTACTTGATGAGGTTACATTCATGAATTTGAGAAAGAGAGTCTTTTAAACCAACCATAATGCTGTTATTGTACATAAGTTAAGTTGTCCTTTGAGCAGTTTTTAGTATGGATTGTTAAGGGTTTTTGACTGAAACTTGTAAATAAATACAACTTTGTGACACAATATTACTGAGAGCAATTTGGAATTGTTACTTTACTTGATGATTGAACTATCATTGAATACCACTACACACCATAATAAAACCTCACACCTGGTTGTAGATCTTAGTGGGAAATGTTTTATATCATTACATATTTTTACACTGTGAACCCTTTTGGGAAACATAAAATTATTCTTGAACAAAGAATGCTATAAGAATTATTCCAATTATATCAGTTCACATTTAATATTAGAAGTCATTTTAAAGTGGTATTTGTAGCCGTATCTGTGTGACGAAATTTCATATGAAGTAACTTCTTGTTGTGAGTTCGGCCAAGTGCCAGACCAGAGGTGGAGCTGCAGTGGAGGACCAAGGCTGTGTCATATGCTCACTGGTCAGGCCTAATGCACAGCTCAGATTCAGTGAAAGTGAAACAGTGACAAACAGAGGAAAGCTGAAGTACTCAGTGAAATCCTCTTCTAGTGGTTCTTTGATCAATACAAAACCCACATGGACTTCCATAGGAAAGAACCCAGCCATCCACATTTAGATGCTGGTGTCTAACCACCAAAACGTTGACAGACGTGTATGTAATTTGGTCTGTACATGTTGATTCCTGTTTGACTTTAGTGCAGACTACATTGTAAATGATTGTAATGGTTGTTTCTCTGTTGACATGATGTCAGTGTGATAGTTTTCTCTATTCAGTAACCATCTGGTGGTAGAAATCTGAATATTGTGCTCATACTTTCTTTCAGGAGTGATCCTTGTGTTACAGTCAAGAAAATTTTTGATTATTTTGTCCGATTTTGAGCAAAAGTTTGCTCTGTTGGTATGTTGAATCTTGTTGCCATCACATGTTTTCAGCTAAGCATGTCCACGTTCCATTCCTGCCAGGTTTATTGATGCTGTAGTGTGTAAATATGACAAAACTGTTAAAATATGAATAACCCCCCATAAATTTCATCATACTTAAAGAAAGCAGGCACATCAGGTGATGTTTTGTAGTTTGCTTTCAGTACATTTTGAAACCTAATCAGGAAAAGTGAAACGTATATTAATGTTAACAGTGGAAGAAGGAAACCGTAGTTGGCTGAATAGTAAGGTAGTGGAAACCTTGTTGTACAGCAGACTTAGAGCATACAAAGCATGTGATTTGATGCAGACTTAATAAGAAAAGCAGTGATTCTTTACGTTAGGAGTTGTTACACATAGTACTGCATGTGAAGGCAGGTGTTAGAACCAGGCCAGTTACATTTCTGAACTGGTAGTAAGATCATTGAAGCATGTTTCTGTGAGCCCAGCCCAGTTTATCAGATTGTTCACTCAAACTCTGCTACAAAAATTGCATCAGAGACAGTGAAATATTCAAAGTATACAAAGAAGCATAGGATGACATGCAGAAGAAGAGCTGTGGGAATTTCTTCATATGAACATCAACGCGGACTCATGCAATTACAAGAATACAACTATTTGAAGAGCATTGCCGAAATATTTAGATACAGCAGATTATTTTGACATTTTGGGTGTTCTACATCAATACCGACAGTACTCTAGATCATTGCCTGTCTTAACATATGGGGATTTTTTAGGCTTACATAAAACATGAATTTTAAAGAACTTCATGGCACTGAACAGAGAATTGTTGTTGATGATTCTCATCCATTATTGTGTAGACATGATTTTTCTGACCACTTACAACCACAGCTGAACAAAAATATTTTAATTCAGACTATTTTAGCTAATTCTAGGAGCTCTTACATATATTTCATTTCCATATCATGGCCCTCTCACCACTGATATCTAGTCACACCAGATGAGCCTCTCATGTACCTGAAAAGACAGACCTTCTTCATCTGCATAACACTACTACAAAGGATTATAGAAATTCTTGTATCAGTGTTATGTGAGATGTCCACTTGGAAGAGCCTGGCACTCACGAGATTTCACAAGATGGAAATTTTTATGCCCAATAGATGTAGAACATGGCAGCTTATGTAAAAGAGCACAGACTGAAGAAGGAAAAGCCTGTCAGCTTCTCGAAAGAAAGCAATCTTCCTGTTCTGGAGGGACAAGCATGTCATGAAGTTGTGAACATGGAACTTACAAGTTACAAGCAAAAATGTGTCACAGCACCTAAAAATGTATAAACATAAGAGCACTGTCTTCTGGGATATAATGTTGTCTCATCCATTGAAAGCCAACTGATGTTTCTGTGGAACATATCTCCTCCATTTTCAGGGTCAGATAAGCCAAACAGGTGGCAAGCTGAGCAGTTGGCTTGCCAGAAATTTGGATTATATAGGAAGCAGGAGGGAAATGGAAGAGTGGGCCTCAGTTCCCATTGGCTCACCATGGGACAAGATGAAACCATGGGGCTCCCACATGACCACTGAGCAAATCAGTAGGAGACAAAAACAGAAGTTTATGAGACCCTGAAAAGAGTCTTTTTTTTTTCTGGTCTAGGAAAAAGACGGGGGAAAAAGTGTATAGGTGTGTTGGGCAGGGAACTGATGTTTAAGGGGGAGAGGTCAAGTGAGTGAGTCACAGGCATGCAGTGAGGGTTGAAAGAGCAGAAGTAGCAGAAGGAAACCAGAACATCAGGGTGGAGTCTAGTGAGTGCCTGGAGAGGACATATTTTGTGCTCTAGTAAGGGCAGTGAACATGGACCTCTGCTGTTGTGATGGAGGCTTCCCACCATCTTTCAGGGCTCATATGAAACGTCAGTTGACTTTCAGCGGACTACACAGCATTACATCCCAGAAGATAGTACTCTTCATAACCACTGCTGTGATAACCTCAAACCCTATATAAACGTACTTTCTTGGGGTGGGGTGAGACTGAGTCCACTGGGTACATCAGCCACTAATTGGCTTATTGTACCAGCTCCAGAAAATAAATGAAGATGAATGGGGAACAGTTGGTGGAAAGAGAATTGGCAGGGGAAACTGAAGTACTCAGAGAAAACCTACTGCAGTGCCATTTTGTCCATCACAAATCCCACATGACCTGACGGGCTGAACCAAATGGGAAGCCAGATACTAACCGCCTGAGCTGTGGCATAGCCTATATGAACATAAGTTAGTGGCCATTTACACCAAGCACATGGGAGAAATAGATGCACTGCCACATACTGTTTCTCAGCAAAACTCTCTATTTCTAGTACATGCAACTCTAGCATAGTTATGCTTACATTCTACTAGTATAACAATAAAACTCTGTGGTTCTAATCCAGAAGTGAACTATACTGACCGAGCGACTGCTGCTCGTCGGCTAAGTTAGTGCCAACTTTAGCAGATAGAGGATGTTGCGTGGTCAGAGCAACAGATGCCCACAGCCATTAATTTCAGTTTTCTAGACCTGAGCCACTATTTCCTTGAAGTAGCTTCTCTATTACCTTCACAAGGCTGAGTGGACCCCGTTCCAGATCAACTACTTCTCAGAAAATCTGGTAGCACCAGGAATGGAACCCAAACCTCTGGATCTGTAGCCAAGAACTCTGACCACTAGACCACAGAGACAGTGCTACATTCTACAAGTATAAGAAGTAAAATCTAGGAAGAGATTTATTGTTGTACTCATTAGAGATTTATGGGAAGACTGTGGACCACAGCTGTGCCCTAAAAACTTAAAAAAGAATATGATTTTCCCCTGAAGCCATTCATGGTACCTGGCTTGTGGATATGATAAAAAATGGGGGAACTGTCAGAAGACATTGAAAGGAAGGAACTGTGAGAAGCAACTTGGTTTGTGAGTACCAATCACCTGACCCCATCCACTGTTCTATCACTCCACACTGGGACAGGCCACCACTGATTGACATCGCCCACTGTTCACTGAGT